GGACTGAACAGCCACAGTTCCTTAGCCACACCGGTTCGATCCACACTGATAACTACTGGTCTTTCAGTATGGTGTGTGAGAGTTCTTCTTGTTTGTGTAGCTCCTCTGGATGTAGGTTGGTAGGTAGATGGAAAGATAGATTTTTGTTTTCATTCTCTGTTTGTTCATTCCAGCATTTTTCAAATGCCTATTCTGAATGCTAGAGCTGCTGAGTGGCTGAAGGTCATCAAGGTAAAACATGCCCAGTTTATAAAATGAGATCCGTCATTGGTAAAACATCACACCCTGAAAATATTGATATTGGTGCTTGCGGGCAGGGAGGTCGTCGTACAGCCACAGGAAGTTTGAGCCTCCGGTGAAGAGGGTAAGGCTGTGGCCGTGTTGTTTGCCAAGCAGCAGCGTCAGTAACAGCAGTAGATGTTTTGTGGAGCGAAGTTTAGGGAAGGTCAAGCCAAGAAAAAAAGGCAAAAAAATGTTGTGCTTCTACATGCAGCAGCAGGGACAGCTGAAGTGTTAATACAAACACCACTAAAATCCACAGGACAGTTGTGCAACCATTCGCAATGGCTTTTTAGTCAGATATGTATAGTTGTGTGCTAAGTATGGGTTTCATGAGAGGTAATACACACTCCCACTCCCATGATTCACAGGTATTGGCATAAGATGTTGAAAGGTACAAACCACAGAACACATCACACACTGGCCAGCCCCCTTTTGAACTGTCATTTTGCCAAAATAAAGATATTCGACGTGTTACCAAGAAATGGTTTAATGGTAGTATTTATGGAAAACAAACACTGAAGAAACACTATTTACTTTGTGGAGATTATTTTAAAATCATTTCTCATAGTGGGTTTTCAGCAAAATGTCAAATGAAGTTGTAAACACAGAGCTATGTTTGTATATTAATATTTGTGTAAAACACAACTGTCAAACTGGTGTATTTTTAGAGCAGTATTTCTCAATATGTGGGTCACAATTAAAAAACAGGACCAGATTTGTCACAGGAATATCACAGAACTTAATAATGACTACATTTTTCTTTTTTGCTCATACTGCTACTGGGTTAGCACTACAATTGTTCAGAGCATAAATTCTATAAGACTCATTTATTTTATTTATTTATTATTTGTATTAAGGATTTCTTTTTTACTCAACTGTAACTTATTTTCTCCTCCTTCTCCTTAGGGTTAAAATGGTGTTTTTGCAGCGACTTTATTGACGTTAACTCCCTACTGTGGTATCATCAGGCAATCTAAGGTCAAAGGAGGACAATTTATCCTCCAAAATTAAATATTACCTTGGTATCAAAAGTATATTGTGTGAACACTCTTTACAGGTGAGTTGTTTTTTAGGTTCCTTATTTACAGTCTGACAGAACATTGTTTATTCAACCTCAAGTCATTTTTCAGCTGTTTGCCTCAGAGCACCGATGTAAAAACACATTAACGTGTGGTTATATTAAGGAGGTCATTACTTTAAGCAACGCCTTCATGGGGGACAATTCAAGTCAGTATTCGGCATTAGAACCATTTGTTTACGCACGTATACTCACACTAATCTCCTAGATTTGTCTTCACCTTCTCAGAAACCATAAAATGTAATAATGATTTGCGCAGAGATCAGAGACCGGGCAGGGCCAATGCCACTGTTCTGTGTCTGTTGGCACCACATGTTGGATTTGGCCTAAAAAGGAGGTGCTGTTACAGGAGAGGGGCTGCTCCCCTCCACCGCAAACACTACCCACATTCTAATCAGGGCAGCCCTGCCAGTAAAGTTGTACCTCTGTCCCTCCTTACCTCAATTTTCTAATCTGAGAAAGACTGGATGGAGGGTTCCTTTTTTTCCCGTGTTTCGATCCTGAGCCAAAGTCCTTAGCCAAGACGGTTGCCCCTCTTTGCACAAAGCTACCTTTGTTCAGAGGTATATATGTTATATGGTAACTTCTGTCCAACACCAATCCATCAAATCCAGGGTCTAAGGCTGTATTTACTGTTTTCAGTCATTTGAATAAGATGTATTCTACATATATGACTATTTAAAATCAAAGATAAGGTCACAGTCACACTGTACATCAACCAGTATACTCCATATTTATTTCCATGTCTGTCCACTTACATGTATTGGTCTTTAAAGAGATGTCTCTGTAGTTCAGTAAAAATTTAAAGATTTTCCTTAAACTTTAAATTTCATTTCATTTACAACTTCCATTTCATTTTTCTCTTTTGTTTTAGAAACTCTCAGCAATTACATGTAAACCTTCACAAATTAAACACTTTTTTGTTAAATGTAAACACATCTGTACGCATACAAGTAACAAAATGTTGTAAACACATCACTGTATAACTGTATTCAAACGTCGGCACATGAATCACAAACGAGTCACATTAAAATAGAATGTTTTTTTGGGGGGGGGGTTAAACAGAACATCTGTTGAACATGTTTCAGTTAATGCATCAGTCCACTCTTTGCACTGTGATTCTTATCAGCTGAGACCTCACAGGTGAGGTGACATTTGAAGACGTCCAGTGCTGGCTTCAGCTCCAGTCTGTAGCTGTGTTTAATTTGGCTCAGTGGAGCAGCAGCAGCAGCACCTGGGCAGGAAAGACAGGCACAAGACTTCATTACAGCTCTCCAGCAAAGCCCCTGGATGGACATCTGAGCGTGTTGGACACAGTGTGTCAGTGTATTTGACTGATATTTTTTTCCTTCTCCCTATTTTTTTAATGACATATTAATAAAGTGTTTCAACTTAACCATTTGCAAAAATGTGGCCACTCTCAGGCCTTGATACATTTAAAGATTTATAGCAATAACAAACCGCCCCGGCTTTAGCTGTAGATAATTACCTGCAGAGTGAGCGCAGATGTGCGGAATGTAGAGTAGATTTATTTCCTGTGAAACAGACTTTCTTTTACCAGACTTACCTGTACAAATATCCTGTAGTCAGTGTTACTACAACATGTCATCAAAGCCAAGGGAAATACTCTTTTTCCTGAAGGGTATACCGTTTTCTCTCTTGCGAGTAGCTTTACTGTAATATAGTACTTAACATATGTCAAATTCAATCTAGTGTATTGTGATTTTCAGAGGAAACGAAGCATTTCCTTTTTCATAATTTTTTTTTTCTCTCATGGAGACTTGGTGGTCCCATCATCAAACTGACAAGCAAGCTCAGAACCAGATCCTTAAGCCAAATCAAAGTTGCTTTCGTGTGTGTTTTCAGCGGAAATCTGTTTTGCAAGACGGTGAATTCAACGTTAGTCCAACGGGACTAAGCTAAGCACCGACGTTGATTTTGAAGGAGACACTGCTTTCCTGCTTTCACAGCATGAATGAGGCCCTTTCAGCAATTTTGAGCATCTGCTCACCACGTACTCTGCTGTAGTTCAACCCCAGGTTTCACCAACCACACCCGATCCTTCTACTTGGGAACTACTCCCTGGCAGCCCTTATTGTATCAGTCCAAACACATTTATACTTCTGTTTTTTTAAGTGATTGATTTGCTGAATCTGACAGGGGTTAGAAAATGTTATTGTTACAAAATGATTTGTGAAACTGTTGAAAGCTCAAAATCTAAAGCCTCAACAGAAAATGTTGAACTTGCAGTCACGAGGTTGGAGAAACCACCTTTTATGGAACTAAAAGATGCAGTATGCCACTTTCTATTACGTGTTTTGGTATTCTGTGTTTGTGAACACTGGGTCTGCAGCTCCCCATCTGGCTTGCTAGAAGTGCCAAGTTTACACATGAAAACTATTTCCCATTATTTGTGTGCATCGGGACATTTTTTACCAACCTATATTTTTGTTGAAATTTTGTTACTAACTATTGCAAACAAGGAGAGTGACAGAGGGGTTTTGCAACATTTTAAGCAAAGATCTATGGTAAAAACATATAACACAACAAGCCACTTTAAAAACAACTTAAGTTAAATTATTATTATTGAGACTTTCTGTTCAAAATAACTACAAATCCAATGAGAAATAAAAAATAATAATAATAAAATGCCCTCACTAACGCCTTAAAACACTGTGAAAATCGCGCATGGCGGTGATACACTGGAAAACTACAGTTCCCGCTATGCTTTTCGACAACCGGAAGCACTTCCCTGTTCAGAATGTATAGCAACATGCGTGTTCAAGTTGGGCACGGCTAACTCACTATTGAAAGTATGTGTGTACTCTTAATGTGAGCGCAGTTGTGCTGCCTTTTTGTTTGTTTGTTTGTTTTTTGTTTAGTAATCAATTCGTCAAGTGACAGACATGTCCGTGAACACACCACAGCACGATTTGATCCCGATGATCTACCGACACCTGAAGTCGCATGGTTTTACTTCGGCTGCAGATGAGCTAGGGAAGCACAGCACACAGGTCAAAACACACACACGGATTTAAGAAGTTTACATACCACTGTTGCATCAATTGTAGCATTTATTTGTAGTTGCACGAGATTAAATTGACCATAATCTCATTGGGATGCTTGCGCAGTTTCCAGTATTAATTACCATTCTGTACTCTGTATTTGATCCAAAACAAATCCGTTTATTTTACATGTCGCATTCTCTTGCGTTATTATTATTAACAGCCTGTTTTGTATTGTTTATAGTGTAATTCATTTTTATTCATTTTAACAGTTGGACGCAAACAGTAACGTGTCATTACTGGATATCTACAGTTCATGGTTTGAGTGAGTACGACTCCTCCGTTGTAATCAGAACGAATCTGTTCACAGCCAGCAGTATCAGTGATAAGAGTTTTCAAAGTTTGTGTCTTTGTTTCAGGAACTCAACAAAGACGCAAGCCCCTTCAACGCCTTCGAACTCCAAGTCGAAAAAAACTCAATCAAAAGGTACTGTTACCTCTTTTCCACAACTTTTTTTTTAGACAACAGATCAGTCCCTCCACAACTGATGTTTTTTTTCCACTTCAATTTTTAAATTCTGTTTATTTATATATATATATAAAATGTTTTAGATCTCTCCAATCACAATGGGAAGTCAAAAATGTCTTCATCCAAGAAAGCTACAAAGAACAACAAGGCCAAGTTGCAAAAAGACCTGGCCTCAGCCAAGGTCTGTCTCCCGAACAGTTTAGTTCTGGACCTCTGTAATAAAGGGGTTCAACTGAGTCTGTTTTCATTTAAAACATTTCTGGTGCTACTCTGGTGCTACTCAGGTCAAAACTCCCAAGAAAAAAGGCAGCACCTCCACTTCAGAGCTGACATCTCCAGCAGCTTCATCAGCAGCAACTCCTTCAGCGGGTATGTCGGAATTAGCTCTTAGCATCAAAAATACAGCAGTTTATTTGACTACGTGCTAACCCATTTTACTTCACGTGTGTCCAGACCCGTCAAAGAAAAAGGCTAAAGTAGAGAACCAAACGGATGCAGAGAAAAATAAAGTAGGTTTATTTTTCATTGTTACATATTGTTAAGATGCTGAGCATAATCAAACAAACAATTTCATGTATTTAATTTTTGTAGCCTGTGGCAGCAAAGAGGAGAAAAAGTGAAGGAAAACCTTCCAAAAATGTCTCGAATGCAAAGAAATCAAAGAACCAAACGGAGAGTGATTCAGACTCTGACAGCAGCCTGGACATTGAGAAATGGAGAAAAATGGCACTGCAGCTGACAGGTGAGTGTGTGCGTGTGTTAGAGACCAAACAGTAGAGTGATTCAGTTGGCAACAGGTGAGGGGAGCTAAGTCGGTTAGTGTATTGACTTTGTATTAGAGCAGCAATAATTGGACGGATGTTCAAATTGTCGGATATACAGTGCACGTCATTCTGAGTCACAAGTTCACAAAATATTTACCACAATTATTTAGTACAAAAATATTACAAGAAACGACTTACAGTTAGAAGATAAAAACACATTACTGATGTTAGAGACCTTCACCAGGTGAAAGTTACGAGACAATGTTACAAGAACATGAATCAAATATACACAAACCATATTGTGCTGCATTATTATAAAAGAATGTGTAACTATTTGTGTGTGGACGAGGACAGCCCCCCTACTTCACCCTGACTAACACAGTTTCAGTAGTGTGATTCAAAACTCCAGGTGAAGAATATGGAACAAGATTTGTTGTGTTTCATCCTGGAAAGAGACTTCCTGTTGAGAAGTCTGTGAAGTCCAGTAAATGATGTGAGTGGTGTAAAAGACAGGGGCAGATGTGTCAGACAAAGACCAGTTAGTGCCACCCTCTAGCAACATGGTCATGGAAAAAGGATGAGTTGACTCTGCACCGCATGGTTTCCGATGATGTTTTCTTTTGAAGCATTCTTGCTGTGTAGCCCTGTTTGTACAAAGTGTTGACCGTGTTTACTGTGTCAACAGAGGCAGACATCGCCAAGATGGACGTCATCAACGCCTTGGATTCCTCTGCACCGCAGCCACCGAAACAAAGGGTCAGAACACCCCGAGCCAAGCCTCCCGCAAAGGTTGATCCTCCCGTCCAAGAGGGTGACCAGAAAGACGGAAAAGATGAGGAGAAGGAGGAAAAAGCTGCAGCAGAAACACCAACAAAAACTAGTCAGCATAGTCCCAGGAAGACACTCGTAACGACCTACCCCGCCCTGAGTCAGGAGGAGATGACCAAGGAGCAGAGACTGGCCATGCTCACTTTGACTTCATCACCACAGGTCCTCTCTACTCCATGTAATGAAAAGAATGATGAGATAGTGTCTGAGTCCAAGAAGAATAAGAAGAGAAAGGAGACAGTGGAAAACAAGGTGGACAAAAACGCAGCAGAGCCTGGAGAAGATGAAAAAGAAAATGAAAGTAATGAAAGAAAAGGTAAATCTGTGGAAAAGAAAAAGAGGAGGAATACCATTACGGGGATGGAAGGAGGGAGCAGAACAGTTGAAGATAGAGCAGAAGTGATGAAAACAAATGGCAGCAGAGATTTTGATAATGAGGAATCTGCCGAGTCAACGGTGCGGTTAAAGAAACACAAGAAGAAGAAAAAAGAGAAAGGTGAGAAAAAATCAGAGCAGACAGCTGAGCTAGTGGCTGTAGACGACACAGAGCAGGGATGTGAAGAAAAGAAAGTGAAAAAGAAGAAGTCAAAGAAGAAAGGTGACAAGGAGACAGAAACATCAGAGCAGATGGTAGAGGGAGAAATGGGGGAAAGGGAGAAGAGAGGGGAGACAGAGGGTGAGGAGAGCTCAGAGCACGTTGTCAAAGAAAAGAAAAAGAAGAAGGAAAAAAAAGACAAAGCTGAGAAAATGGCCGTTGAAGAAGAGGGAAAGACGTCAGAACAAACTGTTGTAGAAGACACAACGGAGGAACAGACAGAGCAGACGCCTAAAGTCAAGAAAAAGAAAAGACTCCTGTCATTGAACAGTACGTTTGTCGACACAGATGTACTTCTTCCTCACATACATGAGACGCCATGTCCTCCAACAGAGAAGAAGAAAAGTAAGTTGACCAATCACTTTGATCCTGACTGAATCTTATTCCACATGTGAACATTTCTCTTCACTTTCATTCCTTGTTTTTCTTTTTTAGAGAAGAACAAGTTGAACTCATCAGAGGTTCCAGAGACTCCGGAGGTTTGTGTCCAGGTCAGCGAAGCAGCAGAAAGTCTCTCAACTCCCTTAATTGGTTCCCACAAAAAGGTAGACAATGCTGAGGGTTTGAAGAACTTATGGTCCTTTTAGAACTGATTATAACAGATTTCTAACTGATTTTTACACATTTGATTATTATATAATTTGCAAACTTTGGTTTTATATATATACATTCACATATACATATATATTACATATATATATTTTTCTATATATATACCCATACACACCCATGCATTATACATACACCCATGTACGCATATTAAAAATATAAATTCTGATTCATTTATTTGCTGTTTTTCTGTTTCTTTCCCTTTTTCTTTTATCCAGAAAAAGAAATCCAAAAGTCACAAAGACGTCTGACACATCATTGATTAATTATTGAACTCCTGAAAACGTAAAGATGAATTCCTTTACTGTGTGACTGTACAAATTCTGTCTTTTTATTGTGATTTTGTGGTAATTTAATTTGTTTTAGGTAGGAGTATATGGAGGGTGATATCAATTTGATAAAAATCAATGTCAGAATCCGTTTGGATTCTGATATATTTACATTAGACGTCAGAGTAAGTTTTAGCTTTTTTAAATCAGCAATCAATCAAACAAAACTGTAGCTCATGCTTGTTTTCATCTGAGAAGTCCTGTCCCTGTGTCTCTTCTCTACATCCTTCACAAAAATGGACTGAGAGGATTCTGTTGTCAGTGTTAACTCTTTTCTGGTTTTTGATAAAACATCCATTATTTTTCTTTTTTAATATATCAGGTGAACAGGTTATGTATTGTAAATGTATTTTTTATCAGAAAAAAACATTTGGTTATGCTAATCAAGGTGAACATTGTGCTTTTCTACAAATTAAACACCATGGTTTTGTAAGATTTTCTCCACAGTCTTATTTATTGTACAGAAAACATTTTTTTTACCCTTTGTGTGTTGCAAGGAAGCCTTCTTGAAGTCTAGAAAATGGCTATTTTTCCCCTACGTCAACCGAAAGCAATATGGGTAATAAGTCTTGGGTTTAAAGACATTGTATAGTTTTTTTTTTTTAATCATATTTTTATATTACATTTCCAACGATATAAACCAAACGTAAGCGCCGTAGAGCTTTGAAAAACCCGTGTTGCTTACACATTAAGCGTCCAGTCGAGGGCGCCACAGCAGCGCGAACAGGACTGACAAAAGAGGTTCAGAAGAAGATTGAAACCGCTCTCAACGTCCTCCATAGTAGTTTGTAAACGACTAGAACATGAGTGACCACATTTGAAGCACAATGAGGTTTTGGGGAGAGTCGTAGCTGAAATGGAGAACAGTGACAGGAGTCAGATGTGGAGGTTGACAAGACTCCGTCACAAAAATGGCAAACAAATTGCCAGTTGCTCAGAGGAGATGCGTGTGAAGAGGCGGGAGAATGAAAAAGGTTTGTTTATTTTACACACATTATTCCGAGGTTGTTGTTTATCAATTTGTGTTTTCCTTGGTGAACAGTAATGTTCAAAAGTTGGCATGTTCGTGTTTCTCTAAAGTATTTTTGCCATAAAATAAGTAATAGTCGAAGCTGTGTTGTTGTGAAGTTATGCCCCGGAAGTAAAAAGGAAGTCCAATATTCTACGAATTGGTTTACAGCAAACCAAGGAGAGACAAAGAAAACAGATCTTTTTTTGTTTTGTTCTGAAGTATCATTGTTCGTTTATCATGCTTTTTTTCTTGCCTTTTAAACGTCGGCATATATTTGACAGCTAAACAACTGTTTGGTTTTATCTAGCTTGTCTGTCAATTGCGTGTACTTCCCAAATGTACTTGTACTTTATAAAAGTGACATCATCAATATTTACCTTGGTTATAAACTGAAACCTCAGTTCACTTTTGTAAAAATAAAATAAAATAATAAATTCATGTGATCTATAATTTTAAAGAAATACACAAGTGTCATGATTTTGAGTATAATGGTTAATACTTTATAAGAAAATTAAAAAAGTAAACTAATTTTGATGCTACTGAAATAAACAGTCATGCAAAGTGTGTCCCTGTTTGTGGCCATAGCACTAAGACAGGCCCGTAGAGACAGACAACTGGTGAGTAAGAGACTGCTGCTGAATGAAGATGAGGACATTTCAATGGAAACCATCCCAGCTGATCAGGTTAGGGTAAAACAAAAGATATGCTGTTGAAAAAATAACTGGAAAGCTACACAAATGAATAATATTCCATTTAAACTGAACTAACGGTTACTTCTTTTTCCCAGGATGTGGTCAGCTTGTTACATAAACTCCAACACAGTGGACCTGAGAGGGAAACCCATCTGAAGGCTTTGAGTAAAGCTCTCCGTGATTCTTCAGCACAGCTCACATTTGTGAAGTATGCTAGTGTTGCAGCATCACATAAGTTTTAGTGATAAAACTTTACAGTTTGTGATATATATGTTTTTTTTTATCTCCCCTTCTTTAGTCAGGAGAACAGCATGCACCTGCTGGTCAGTTTCCTCACTGGCTCTAACACTCAGTGCCGTCTCCATGCTATTCGCTGCCTTCATGAACTGTCTCACTCTCCTCACCCTAGTGTGGCCCCAACCTGTCTGCCTGCGACCTCTTACCTGCTTACGTACCTATCTGGCCAGAGCACCAAGTTCACTGTAAGTGGATGCCATTCATTATGAACATAGTATGTGGCTGTTTGTCAAGTCATCGCTTTTAATACACATGGAATTATTGACTATTATTTCTGTGTGTTTCATATTGTTGTGTGTTACCAGGAGCTGTGTCTCTACACACTTGGTAATTTAATCCCAGACAGTGATGTTGTCAAAGAGAAACTGTTGGCTCAGGGAATCATACCGGCTTTGGCAAGTTGTATAGAGGTAACCTGACCAAATGTCTTGATCCATAGAAACAGCAACGTTAGTGTGTTAAATATAACACTGTATCTTTTATACAGTATGTGATTGCTGAAAAAAACCCTAATATTGTTTGTTAAATTGACAAACATGACCCTAATCAGGTGATGTTTTTAATGTCCAGAACCAAAGACATCACCTGGCAGTGGTGGAAGCAGCCAGTTTTACCCTTTCTCAGCTTCTTCAGGCCAAAGATGCTGCAGAGACAATAATGTCGTGAGTGAACAAGTTTTTCTGCTCTTGGTGCATGGTATTTTGCTAAACACATTCTGGGCACCCAAACTGTACCAGGCACAGGCACTGTTGACATGTTCTTTTGACCCTTTATACAATGCTTTGTTAGTAATATATGTCTGTAGTTGATAGTCTACATTTGTTTACTAAATGGGTTAAATACAGTGGTTAACTCCCATCAATATAATATAATATAATTTATAATCCTATTTCAGTTTTGCTATATGTTTTCAGTTTCTTATAACAACTTTTTTTTAAAATAAATAACACTAAGAAAATGGTTATACTTATTTTTACTGTCATACTGTTCTCATGGTTGACTCTGTCCTTCTCTCTGTCTAAAGGAAGGTCCTGGTCTCCACTTTACCTTCACAGCTGTTATCAGTTCTGACTCCAGATCCACAATTTGGCCTGGCCCCTGCCATTGAGTGTGCGTGGTGTCTGCATTACATGGCGTGCAGGTGAGAGCCGTACCCTTAACAGGTGTTTATGTTAATGTTATGTTTATGAGTTTTGTTTCCATCACCCCTCTGACTAAAAATTATGTCTGTGTTTTTCTTCACTTGCTGGAGACAGTCAAAACGGCAAAGAACTGTTGGCTTGTGGGGCCCTTTCGAAGTGCAGTTCTCTGTTATGGTCGCTAGGGTGTGCTGTCCGGGAAGGAAACCAGGACGAAGGCCTGGAGTTGGTAACCTCAATAATTCGTTTATCTTCCAGCTTTTATTCCTAATTAAGGATAAAAAAATTTTAAAAAAATCATAAGATGTGAATTTATAACTGATTTATAACTGAGTTGCTAAGAGTGATAAATATATTATAAATATATAAAGACCACATATAGTATCATTTTATAGTGTTTTAAATACATTTATATCATCATATTAGTGTTATGTTGAGCCATCCCATGAACAAAAATGTTTTTTGTAGCTATTTGTATGACTTTTGCACATAAATGTAGGAACTTTTAGGAATCAGCTGTTGTGTTGCTCCTCCTCAGCTGGTCTGTCCTCTTCTTCGCTGCGTCGGGAACCTCCTGTCCTTCTGTCCTGCCAACAGCCTCACTGATCAAGTTGGTGATGTCAAACTCGTGGTTGCTCTGTCTGCCTTCGTTCAGGCCTACATACACAGCAGACCAGCGCTGGCCAGGGAGAGCGCCTGGGTCCTCAACAACCTCACAGGTCAGACTCATGACATAACATTTTTTTGGTAAGACAATTCAGTATTGTTGTTTTTTTTTCTTTGCTTATTATACAAAATGTTTCAAGGTCTTTTTTTTTTAATTCATTTTCCAGCTCACTCAACTGATTTCTGCTCGGCTCTCCTCACTCATAATTTGGTCCCTGCACTGATCCAGTCCCTTGCATTCTCTGAAGGCATCAATACAATGGTCAGTTAATATTTTATATTTGTTTTGTATGATTTTAAGAAAAATGTGTCTCATTTACATGTAAATGCTCTTTTTTGGTAATACCTCAAATATTATTTTTAATTTCCATGTAATCTGTTATATTAAATTTGAAAATCATATTTTATTTGTGTCTTTTCTTTTAATTAATCTCATAAATTTAATGCTTAAACTCATAGTGTTAAGCCAACACTGACCATTTGTCTTTAGATCCTCAGAGTTCTGGCAAATATTGCAAACAAGAAAAAAGAGTTCTGTGTAGAACTTGTCCAGCAGGGTCTGCTGTCTTCTCTCTGTGCCACACTCAAAATGGCTGATGCTGAAATGGTGACACTGAGTCTGGAGGTTCTTTTTATGTTGGTTTCAAGTAGTCCACAGGTAGGAACCCTTGGAGTCATTAACAGAAAACTATTTCTGTTCTGTTTTTGTGGTTGAGCAGACTCTGAGAGGGTTTTTTTTGTCTAACAGGTGACGGAGGAGTTTGTGAGGCTAAATGGAGTTTCACTATTGGAAGCCATTCAGTACAACAGTGAAGGAGAGATGAGACGAAGAGCAGCGTATCTGCTGGAGCACCACCTAGTGTTTACCTCATCCTCATGCACAACAAAGACATAATAAATATAAATAAAGCTGAGATTTTGAGGTAAGAACAGTTTTAAAGAACGAGGATGTACTTCTCTGTCCTTGCCTGCAGGGGCTGAGTAATACTGTATGTTAAAACGATTTTCCACGAGGTCAGGTTGTACAAGCTATCGCTTATGTATGGTGTTTTTGTATGAGCAATTGCAAAATATCACATGTACCTTTGCAGCACATGAACATGAGGTCATGTTTTATTATTCATATATGATTATATTTAATGATGTAAAGGATGGAATACTTTATACAGGAATACTGGAAACAACGACTTTACTTGCGATGGTAGAGGAAAATCGACCATAGCTAACAAACAGGGCGATATTGATCATGAATTTACCTTGTGCTTTTAGCCCACAATGCAACTGTGTTCCTGCACAGACGTTTCCCAAATAAATACTTTTTTTTAAAAAAAAACACTCTCTGTCTACAGACATGTTTTCACTTCTGACTTTGAGTCCTTTAATGTCTGCAGTGGGTTTTTTTTTTTACATTTCTCTTGGCAGCTGGATATCCAACATCTTTAGTCCCTCAAATCCACTTTTTATTCTTGGTGGATCCAGGTCACTCCCAACAAAGGAGCTAACGTGGCTCTCAGGGGAGTGGTATCTGACCTTTGACATACTCAAAGACAAAGCAAAACAACCTGAAACGGCAGCAGAAGCAGTGATATAACCATGAGCAACCTTTTGTATATGTGTTGCCATCTTAGGTATTATCTTAATATAATAAGAGATCATATTTATCAGTTATCACTGCTGCATCTTCACACTGATGTCCATAGAAATATTAAAGGAAAGAGCCACTAGTATGGTCTGTTATGTAATACATTATAAGGCAAGTATCTTTAGAGTGGGATGTTATGGTCACATGATCACGTTGATGCTTCCATGAAACATAAAAAGGTCTGGATTTTCTGATATGTTTCTGTGGATTCCTATTGTGATGCATGGACTGATGAAACATTGTTTTTAGTCTGCAACTTCCCAAAAGTTCAGCAGCTCCTCCCCATGCTGAAAAAATGAGGAGAAAGTTTCAGATTTCTTCACTTCCTCTGTCCGCCCTCGACATTCTCTTCCCGTTATCTTTTTTCACACTCCTCTGCATGTAGAACTAAAACAAGGTGGGTCACCCCATGTTTCCAGTTGCATTCTTCTTCAGCATTTTTTCTTCTCATACAGCAGTTAACACTGTTTGCAGTTATTCTTCATTCATAACAGCTTTTATCTCCCACCAAAGGGGAGAGGGGAAACTCATCTGGTTCTCGTTCTCTCCAGATTTAGATACTAGTTTACGGAAATGGACACCACCGAAGCAAGCGCTGGAGAGAGGACAACAGGACAAGATGTGAATGAGAAGGCTGACAACTTGGTGCTGAAGACCACCAAACCTTTGCATCGCTTTGTGTCCAAGGAGCCCAAAAGTTTGGGGGTGAGATGTTTAAACAGATAAATAGAGAACAGAGAAATAAGATGTTTGACTCTCATAGTGACTTGTGCTTCGAAGGTGCGTGGTTTTGAGTGGTGAAATGAAATATTAATTTCAAGCTGGACTCCGTCGTGCCATGTGACCTTCTTCTGCTTTTTCATAGATTGTCATTACGATCTTTGGCTGCGCAGAGCTCCTGATGGGAATCCAGCTGCTCAATGAGCATGTGATGAACTCTGCTGCAACCTACGTCCCTCTCTGGCAGGGAGCTCTGGTATAACATATGAGTGATTGAAGTTCATTTTTGCCCTTTAAGATGATAGGTCACATTTTTCTGGTCATATCAAGGCAACTGTGTTCTCTTTTTATTTACAAGTGAAATGCCGAAAATAATAGTTTAAAATAATTATTCAATGTATGTCCATATCTAGCTCAAAAATGTTGCCATGACTTTAGAGAAATTATCATGACAGTTTGAAAAAAATGCCCATGCTAGAAGTTAGCTAAGAAGTTAGCTTCAATCATTTTAAAAGAAATTATCAATAAAATTTGAAAATAAATGTGGTGAAAAACTTTAGAGAAGTTATCACCATTTTTTGAAAAAGGTGGCAAAAAACTAGCCGTGCTAGTTAAAATAAATTAGCCCGAAATATATTTCAAAGGAGATTTTTAGACGCTTTTCTAAACTACAGCTGTTTAGTGAATTACAACAAATAGAGATAGTAAGTATGTGTTAAAATGTATTGCATGTGTTTACACTTAACTGAAAGTTTTTTTAATTGTTCCATTAGTATGTCCTGTGTGGAGGCCTCTCTATCTACACTGAAATACAGCCCTCCAAAAAGATGGTAGGATTATTTGGCTCTTATATTGGTGTTAAATGTTTTAAATATATCAAAATACAAAAGTTTGCTACATTTTTTTTTTCACAGGTGACGGTGTGTTTTTCCATGTATGTGATATCCATCATAGGAACCATTATTTCTGCTGCTCAGAGGGTGTCGCTTTTTGCCTTCTTTTCCTACCTTTTATACAGAAACATGGAACATGAATGGGCCTACACGAGAGCAGTGAGTGATAGCAGAGATCTCCAAACCTATTATTTAAATGTATTAACTCTATTTAAATAACAACTAATTTATGTTTACTGAATACAGTTTTTTTGTCTCACTTCAGTGGCAGCTCCTGTGGCTGGAAATTGTACTGCTCGTATTCTCTCTCTGTGTTGCCGTGATTCTAATCTTTTTGAGCACAATCGCTCGTTTAGCTCTGAAATCCAACACCTCTCAGGTAATGTTTTTTTTTCCAATTAAGATCCTTAGAAAATGAACTAGTCTGACAATTATAAAATATAAATGTTAAATAAATACCATCTTTGTCCCCTCCTGCCCCCAACCCTTTTTTTAATAGGTTGTTGTCCAGTGGAATCCAGCCCAAGGACAGACAGATACACCTTCAAATTAGCACATTATAAAACTAAAACGTAACATGTTCATAATATATTTTTTTATTGCAGCAATTGCGATAACAACAGTGTTTCTAGCAGACTTAACAAATGATTACCTATTAATCAAAAGAAATCAAATCAAAATGCATCCGTCATTAACGATGAAACTTTTCAGAATCTAATGAGCTCAACATTATCTTTCACTGTTTCACTAAATTGATTTAGTAGAAGATATGACATGTGTACTTTTATCTGTACAAACCACTGTATGAGTTGCTGCCACCTAGTGACTGAAGGCGTATCATTCAAGCATTACAGCAGTGGTACACTTATGTCCAGCCTGACCCCCCTACCGGCACCTTACTGCACCCTCCCAGGGGGCCCGCCCCACTATTTGAGAAGTACTGACATAGAGCAAGATTTCCCATGCTTTAATCTACAACATGGTCCTGCTCGTCATGGGCATTAAACCAACAACCCTCCAAAAACAAATCTGGTCCCCCATGCACTAATGTGTAAACAGGGTTAAAATCAACATAGGGAACATTTCAAAATAAAATCCACTATAGTTTCATGAGGACATACACAGATTTAATTTCAAATTAAAAGCCAGACCAAATTTACAGTATGTGCATACACACAGATTTAACTTAAATCTTCCAGTTTGTGTTGTTTTAATGGTATATAGTGTATGTGATACACATCAGATCTAAATGATGCAAGTATATAGTGTAGGGAGTTTTGATTTGCATCCCAAACCTTTAGACTCTGACCAGAGTCATATATTTTTAAATAAAGAATCAATGTTTTGAGACACATTTGTATTGTTTTTTGTTTATCATTTGGCCCTGGGAAAGCCACACGGTTGATAATTTATCACGCTCAAAGGAGTCAGAGCGACAGACGCCACACAGAACAGACACCAGTGATGAAGTATGTGACTCCACACAACAGACGATTCTTTGGTCAGTTAATTTATTTCCAGTCATTTCATTTCACTGCGTAGACAAACACTATTACATAGCAAAGTCTCCCTGCTGTTGGTCATACTGGGAGAAGCATTTGGTCCTTGTGCATTTTTTTTTTTGTGATAGTGGTGGAGGGGGTAATGTTCACAGTATTTAATAGACATAGCTGGCTGTGTACAGAGACTGCATGGAGGCCTGGTCAGCTGTGCCTGTGGGCTTGTATTCTCCTTTGGAAGCAAGGCCGTTGGTCTAAAGCAGGGAAAACACAATAGGTCAAAGTCAAATCTGTGTTAATGATCAGCCCCATTACGGTTGTCACATTAGTCTAAAACTCAACAGATAAGCTTACAAAGAGAAAAAAATAAAAATAAAAAATCAATGATCGACTGGTGTGAAGTTGTGCAACGCGTGACCGTGAGTTCCACGTGCACGATCGTCCACATCAGTTTGATAAGTGTGATTACTTCACAGTTATTCACGGATGATGAGGCTCACCTTTGCCCTGCTGCAGAAAGCTTCCTGTGCGGCTTTCTTGTTCTCAGCTTTGCCCAACCAGGCCGCAAGAGCAGAGGCCTGAAGAGCACGGCCGTAGGAGAAGCTCAGTTTCCAGGGGCGTTTCAGCGGGACTTGGTTGATGGCGTTCAGGTTGAGGGAGGCCTCTTCCTCGCTCTGGCCTCCAGACAAGAAGCAGATGCCTGCAAAGGATAAAGGTATGTAGCACGCTGCATGGAACGAAACAGAACAGTGTGAACACACAGCCTGAAACTCACCTGGCACAGCAGCAGGGACAGTGCGGAGCAGAGCGGTGACTGTTGCCATCGCCACCTGTTGAGGGGTGTACTTTGTGGTACAGGAGTGTCCAGCGGTGACCATGTTGGGCTTCAGCAGAGTGCCCTCCAGGTACACATGATGGTCAGAGAGAGCCTTGTACACAGCAGCCAGAACCTGAAAATTGAGATCAATTTAGTTTGGATTCAGTTTTGTAATCATCAAAGGGAGGGGGGAAAAAAAATCACTGTGGATAATTAGCTGACCTTTTCTGTGGCATACTGGCAGCGCTGCAGGTCATGGTCTCCATCAGGCAGAATCTCTGGCTCCACGATGGGCACCAGGCCATTCTGATGGAGGGAAAATGTCTTGTGTTAAAGCTGTAAAAAAAACCAACTTTTTTTTTTGCTTTCTGCCCTTATCTGTAACAAATACTCACACACCTGTTGGCAGATGCTGGCGTATCTGGCGAGGACGTTGGCGTTCTCTGCAATGGAAAGAGCTGACGGGCAGCTGTCAGAGATCTTCAGGACACACCTCCACTTGGCGAAGTCACAGCCGTCCTTCTTGTACTGGGCGCATCGCTCTGACAGACCATCAAGTCCTGGGAAAATTACAGTTTGAATGAATGATATGCAGCAGTACTTCGATGCACCTGCAGTGGTCCAACACTGTATAAAGAGATTGTTAATGTATACGTGTTTAGTCTACCCTGTGTTGTCGTCTCTCCATCTGTTCCATTCAGACCAGCCGTGCCTTTGTCAACCTGAAAGGAAAAACTTCACTGTTAGCGTTTGTCCTCCCCGTTCACAGTTGACTGTATTGTGCGTAGCCTCGACTAGATGTCGCCGTCGATGTCGCCTTCTCACCTTAATACCGACAACAATGCCCTTGTCCTTGATGACTTGGGGGAAGAGCTTGCCACTGTCAGATTTCTGGTAGAGCGTCTCGTGGAACAGAATAACTCCTCCGATGCAGTTAGAGATAGAGGGGTCAGTGGAGAAAAGAAGCTCGCGGAAGCAGCGGCGGTTTTCCTCCGTGTTTTCCACGTTGATTTTCTGGAGACGTTTCCCCATGGTTCCTTGACAGACATGACAAGGAAGTTATTATCAAGCACACAGTAGTGTCATTATGTCTGACGGTGAGGGGGTGTTACCTAAACATGATCTTAAGTCTCACCTGTTGATTCATCTGCAGCCAGGATTCCCTTTCCTGGAGCTACAATCTTCTGAGCAATGTCAGAGAGCTCCTTCTTCTGCTCCGGAGAGAGGGATGGGAACTGATGAGTCATTCTGAAAGAAACAAGTTTTGTTACAAAGGGATCAACACAAAGCCTTGCATTAAACAATTGTTCAAAGTATGAGGAAGATTTTTATTTTTTTTTATTTTTCTCCTTGTGGCAAACAATGCACAGGAGTGGAGTAAACGCATCCTCGTCTTGCGTCACCTCAGTCAATATTTGCCCGGTTTGGTTGAACCTTGGCCTTGACCGACAGCTCTGCCCCTCTAACGTGCAACTAAAGTCCAGAGTTCACCGCAGGTTAAAAACAACATGCTTCCAGAAACTTTCAGTCGCGGAACCTACACAGACTTCAGACGGGATTTGATATTCTTTAATCAACGTGCAGTAACTTGTTCAAACTGCAGGACGGTTTTTTTTTCTCTTTCTTTTCTGGCTGCACAATAACAAGCTGTGCTGCAACACACGAGTTAATTCAACACCAGTCGTAGGAACTTCTCATCACCAGCACAGGTCATTAAAAATAATTTTAAAAAAAACTTTAATGTCTTTGACATTGCTGTCCGACTCTAGACACTAAGTTTAAAACAGCACTTCCGGCAGTATTTCTGCAGTTTCTGCACAGGCGATTCTACACGTTTTCAGCTTTAACATAATTGCAAAAGTAGTTGCAGAGCGTTAAAGATCGACGTGAATTTAAGAAAAATAGTAGGTGATACCTGAAAGTTTGGATCAAACAACGGCAGGAAACAACGGTACAAAGCTTCAGCAGCCTCCCAGACAGCGAGAAGAACGAGTTGTACTCGACTGCCTCAATTTATCTGCTGTTCCAGGCCAAGGAGAGGGAGGAGGGGTTGGAGCGAAAGGAGGAGAAAGAAGAGGAGGAGTCGCTCCTGATGTGTGGGGCGTGGGTCAGCCCGGTATCGTAATTGGTCTGGTCTATGTCACATGTTTGAAGGATGCAGCATCAATGTGCTCATTTGTGGACCTTAGCATGTCAGTGAAGGTCTGAGGGAACGTCATGTTGCGTTTGGAGGCAGTTAGAAAGTGTTGATCTGCCCCCACCCATTCCCCCAACTGTTTTTTTTCGCTGATGAAATTTGCAAAGTCTGTTACAATGTCACCATTTAGTTGTTTGTTTTCAAACTTTGTGCTGCAGGGAGTGAAGAGAGGTAAGAACAGTTCACTGAGTTCACGTGAGACGCAAAAAGAGAGAGAGAAAATTTTCAATTCATAGCTACGAAAACTGAAGAAGAAAAGATCAGAATGTTCAGCTACTTTTGGAATTCAAAAGCTAGCCCCCTAGTGGACAGCAGACTAAAGATGGGCGTTGTTATTTACAGAATATGTAAATAATAAAGCCTTTAAATTAAAATTTAAAACAATAAAATCGTGACATTTTTCATATCAAACTCAAGCTACATTAATACTTGGTCCTAAACCAGATACATAGATGATGTTTTTTTGAGCAACCTTAATCAGAACCGTCATGTTCTATTTAGCCTACGTAATAACTCTATGTGATGAAGGTTAGTTGCCCTGGTTAGTTCTTCAGAAACGTACCAGCCAAGTTCTAAACATTGTGTAGCAATGTACTTAGAAAGAACAATGTTAGTTGTCAATATTCAGTTTACATCAGTTTTCTAAAAGTAATGTTTGACAATAACGAAGGCCTAATCTTGACATGGATTATGACCTCAGAGACTACCAGTCATTTCCTGTAAACAAGACGTGAAGTTAAACCTGTTTTTTTCACATGCCTCATTTTTTTTATCTTCCTCATGCGTCACATTCTTTCCCAAACACGTCATACACAAACAGTTTGTACATCGATTGATCTAAAGGTTCTAAATCAACAATGGTTCACGCTCAGCAGACAGATTTTCCAACCCCGTGTTGGAGTGTTGCTGTAGCTCACAAATACTGATGAGCCACTGTTTACACAATCAGTCTGGACTATGTACAAAGTGCAAGGTACCTTGTAATACAGCCGTTCAGGGTTCATTCTCTGTCTATATTTTTCTTTACATAAGAATGGAGAATTCAGAATGTTTTCCAGATATGCTGACTTAGCTATCTTGACAATATAGGATTTAAAGGATTAAAAGAGGAAGATTGTTGAAGGTTTGTGAGTGTTGTTATAATGTTGCCGCACTAACATAAAGATAACTATCAAGCATTTATTTTGTGCATTTGTATCATTATAATAAACGATTTGTGGTTAAATATTTGTTTTTTTTATTTGCTAGATCTTGCATTTATTCTTTAAAATAAATAAATAAATTTAAACCAATTTTAATATTCACCATTTGAAATAATAGTAATATTTGAGTCCCTTATTATTCCCCCAATAGGGAAATTTACAGTTTGCAGACACTGTCATTGTCTAAAAAAGTGACTATTGCATACAATATATTACTATTATTATTGTTGTTGTTGTTGTTGTTGTTATATATGCAGTTAGAGATGGAGGGGTCAGTGGAGAAAAGAAGCTCGTGGAAGCAGCGTTGTTTTTCCTCAGTGTTTTCCACTTTGATATGTAATTATTATTATTATATTATTATCATTTTCTCCTCTCCTCACCTCTGTTTTCAAATGTATTCCAACCCAAACAGTTCGGGTTCCGCGTATTTGGTTTTCAGACCCTTTTACATACTCTTTTCCTCCATACCAATAGGGGGCGCAGAGTTAGCTGTAGGGGAAGCCCTTTGGATGGATGACGTTTCCGTTTCCGACTGACAAGAAGCCGCTTCATCAACATCTACAAACAGTAACACCTATCACCATATACGTCTTGTTTTTTAACGGTGAGCTTCGGGTTAGGTACAGTCCTGTAAAAATATAGAGATGTTTGAATTATTTGCATCGGGGACTATGTTAGAAGTCCGTTTTTATTCACTGTAAAAGCATTTACATCTAATGTTAGCATGCGGCTAATACTAGCTTTGTCGTTACGATAATGATTTTAATCACGTCTCCTTTTAAAATGTTATCATAGGTGAATTTACCCTTATTGATATCAACATATCAAATCACACAGAACTACTTTTTAGTAAATCTGCTAAACAGTTTCACCAAGAATCGACTCTTATTTCTCTGTTTCCCAGGAGTCTGAGGATGTCGGGACAGAAGCGTCCTGCTGATCCGAGCAGCGGCCCCTCGTCCTGCGGTGCTGCAGCAGGAGGGAGCACCACCGTGGAGACAGTCATTAAACTTGGAGGAGTGTCCAACAATGTGAGCTACACTCAGTACTCACCATAAAGATATTACAACTTTAGAACTGCTATCTTAGGATATCTTTACTTATTACCTCCGGTTTTTAATCTTTGGGGTTTTTTTTAGGAAGAACAAGACATAAAAGCTCTGCAGGTCAAGAACAGGAAGCTGGGAGAATCCCTGGATCAGAGACAGGTGAACTAATCATCTACAATACACACTGGAAGCTCGGCTTATATCCACTCCTGTTTTGTTTATCTTCTGGACTGTTTTTTCTGCAGGTGATTGAAGATGAGCTGCGAGAAAGGATCGAACGATTGGAGACCCGTCAGGCCACTGACGATGCCAGTCTGCTAATCCTGAACAGATACTGGAACCAGGTAAACACACATCAGTTTATGTGAGGACGTTGGACTCTCTCTTTCACACAACCTAGCTATTTTATGCTTGATATTGACAACTGTGTTTAAAAAATAAATATTTGTACCATTCAGTATAAACTTTATGGAACCATGGCAAATTATGGCACACCAGATGTTGATGGGTTTAATTTAATACATTTTTGTTTGGTTGGTAAAAGTCAAGTGTTGTCCCTACAGTTGGATGAAAACATAAAGTTGACCATCCGGCGCTATGAAAAAGCAAGCAGTGAACCTGAGAAATCTCCTACAGGCGACGGACGAAGCCTAAAGCCAGAAACACCAGAACCTGATGGCGACTCTAATCAGGAGCGAGTGAAGGACAGAGGTTGGAACAAAAACTGACACAAAATTTTGACTTCTGTTAGCAGAAATGTTTTTGTAATCAATGTGATAAACTGTAAACTAAATCTGAAGCCTTCTTTTTTTCTTTTGTTGTCATTCAGGCCAGCAAGGAGAGACATCAAATTCTTTCTTGGCGACCTTGGCAAGTAGCACCAGTGAGGAGATGGAAGCTGAGCTTCAGGTGAGAGTGGAGTCAAGCCTCAAACAGGCCAATCATGTGGTGGAGATCTATGAAGCCTTGAAGAGCACTGTGGACCAGCTGAAGGCAGAGCTGGACTCTGGAGCTGGTGAGATGGCAGAAGGGAAGATTTGAGGATGATGCATCATATCAGTATGTGCTTTTTTTATTAATGATTCCTGTCTTTCCAGAGGGAACTATGTGGAAGATGGCAACTACACTTAATTCTCTCCTGACCAGTGAAAACGAGAGGCTGCAGCAGCTGACTGAGGACCTTGACCAGAAACACAGTCACATGACGAGCGAGGTTCAAATCCATTGCCTTTTGACCTCTTTTAGCCCGTCCCACTTTCATCAATTATATGTGTGTGTAATATTAGAAGTAAGTATTGTTTATTTGTTTCTAGTCCCGCTCTCTGAGTCGTGCTGCCAACAAAGCAGATCAGCGAGTGAGCGAGCTGCAGGTTCTGATTGAGGAGCTTCAGTGGGACATGGAAAAGATTCGCCGTCGGGAAAATAGACTCAATGCACACTTGAGTGAAATACAGGAGAGGGTGTGTATTGTATAAGAGGGACTTTATATAACCATTTTAAAGTAGCAGTTTTGATGGTGGTTTATCATTATCATAGGTGAACAGCAAAGGCTATAAGGTGTGTGGGGAGGCCAGCAGTGTTTGTGGAACTATAACCATTAACAAGAGAAAGGTAGGTTTTAATGTTTTTTTTTTCTAAATTTGATTATTAAGGATCTATTATACCATAGACACACTTCACTGTTTTCCCTTTAAACCACATGATTCCTTTGTTTTCTTTGACAACAGTTTGAGGAGATGAACAGTGAGTTGGAGGAGAATCGTGAACTGGCAGAAAACCGTCTCACTGAGCTTCAGAAGCTCCAGCAGGACCTGCAAACTGTTCACCAGGAGAACAACAGCATGAAGGTTCACAAGCTTCATATCTAGTCTAAATTATTAGACTGACTTAACATATTTTAAGTAAAAATAACATTTTAAAGAAAAAATGTTTTCATTTGTTTTGTTTTCCTTTTGTTCCAGACGGAGCTCATGAATCGGGCGGAGGGCTTCGTGAAGGAGACGTCGGAGTACCGCTGTCTGCAGTCACAGTTTTCTGTCCTCTACAACGAGTCTTTGATGCTCAAGTCTCAATTAGACGAAACCCGTTCCCGGCTCAACACAACCAGGACGGCAAGGCTAAGACAGTTAGATCACATGGAGGTGATTTTTTGTTTTTTGTTTTCTGTCTTTATCTCGGTCTCTCTTACCTTATGTTCTTTCCCCATTTGTTAATTATGTGTCTTTTTATTCACAGAATGATGAGGTGACTCTGCAGAGAAAGGTTCGAACTGAGGTGTTTCAGCTGGAGGACACACTGGCTCAGGTCAGGAAGGAGTACGAAATGCTGCGCATAGAATTTGAACAGACCCTTGCTGCAAATGAACAAGCAGGTACATCACCGTCAATGTCTGTTGAAAATAACTCCTGAATTGGTTTAAAATATTCTAAATTCTTCACAAAAATGTACTGATGTGCAGTCGCTCTACTATATCAACTCCCTGACTTTACCTGGATCCGTGGACTGTCTCTTTTCTCAGGGCCCATTAACAGGGAGATGCGACATTTGATAAGCACATTGCAGACCCACAATCAGCAGTTAAAGGGAGAGGTGGTGAAATACAAGCTGAGACTTAGAGAGACACAAGCTGAACTCCACCAGGTTGGTCACCAGTTTTTTATTTATTTAAAAAGTAAAGAAGAACCTATAAATCCAACCTGTCGCCATTTGCTGTGCCTTTTCCATTTTTTTTTTTAGGTCCGAGCTTCAAAAGGTAACAGCATCCTCCAGTCCCAGTCAAGCACAGAGATGGAAGTGAAGGATGAGACGATGTCTCCTACGACTCCAGCTGTCACTAGCGAACCTTCAGTCAAAACAGAGCCTGACAACGAGTCCTCAGTGGCCAACAACACTGGTCGGTAAACAACATCTATCAAACAGAACGTACACCAAAAAAAAAAATAATAATAATAATAATTTTAAATAAATGACCCTGTACATCATTGTGTCAACGTCTCTGTCGGCACAGCAGTGAAAACTGAGCCTGGAGTTGAACCAGAGGTAACGTTGAAAGAGGAGGAGAAGGAGGAGAAGAAAGAGAAGGACGAAAAGAAAGACAAAGATCTTATAAAGAAGGAAGAAAAAGACAGAGAGCGGGAGAAGGAAAAAGAGAGAGAAAGACCAACTCGCAGCAGTGGCATAAAGGAGGAGAAGGACAAACCAGGGAGCAGCAGCCAAACAGAGGAGTCAGCGGGGGAGCGACTGTCTGTGGTGGGAGGGTCCAAGAGGAAGGAGATGGAGCAGCTGAAGATTGTCCGAACAGAACTCAAGTAGGTCACATTTTTGTTTGTATTTGTAGTTTTACAGGTTTTAAAAATTGACACTTGTTTTGGTAGCTCTAGCGAAGATTAAGATTTTAGTTTTCCTTAACCCATTTTTTTTTCATTCTTTGTCTGCTTAGACCCATCAGTGTTTTTATATGCGACTGTTTACACCTCATTTTGACATCATCTGTGTTTCATTTCACACCGGTGCGTCACATACTTCTCTAATTTGTAAGCTGTCAATTGAAAATGAACTCATGCTGAAATCCTGAAAATGCTCAAACCTCAGCAAACTCTTAATGAGTCACAGCACCGTGCAGTTTACGCAGTTATACGCAAGACTTATTTACTGTGAATCCATGAGATTGTTTATTAGGGTTCTGCCATCTGTTTCTTCTTTCAGTGCTTAAATAGTGTTTTAATTACATGATGATTATTATTTGCTCATGCAGAAAAGCCCAGGAGTCCCAGAGAGAAATGAAGCTGCTGCTGGACATGTATCGCTCAGCACCAAAGGAGCAGAGAGATAAAGTCCAGCTCATGGCTGCAGAGAAAAAGGCCAAGTCAGAGGTCAGATTTCAACACTGTACATCGCTGTCACCTATGCACAAATATTTGGTGGCTGTAGTTTTGGTTTGAAATGTGTTCTGGAATTTCGGACCTACATTTTCCTTCTCAACTACACCTGGTCAGTCAGATGAGTCCACTTTGATTAAGTGGGGCATATCCATTCTATTAGAGACAATTTTTTGCTTTTCAGGCAGAAGAAATTCGACAGAGGCTAAGGGAACTGGAAGAACGGGAGAGGAGAGAGGGCAAAAAAATGGCAGATGAGGAGGCACTAAGGAAGATCCGCTCTGTGGAGGAGCAGATCGACATTCTCAACAAGAAGCTCTCCATAGCTAAACAGGTCTGTGCACCCCCCCTCATCGTCCCCCACCCAACTTGCTCGGCTTTCACTTTGTCCTCTCACATTCACCAATGTCGCCCTCCGTCTGCAGGAGGAGGACGCGCTGCTGAGTGAGATGGACGTGACGGGCCAGGCCTTCGAGGACATGCAGGAACAGAACATCCGCCTGATGCAGCAGCTGAGAGAAAAAGACGACGCCAACTTCAAGCTGATGAGCGAGAGAATCAAGTCCAACCAGATTCACAAGCTGCTAAAAGAAGAGAAGGAGGAGCTAGCCGACCAGCTGCTGACACTAAAAACTCAGGTCAGTCTCTGGGAACCTGTGAAGATGAGGGAGGAGCCTGACCACATGGATACTGTGATTTTTACCTAGTAAACTTTCCCAGACAACCTTAGAAAAACAAAACTGAACTCTGTCTCTACAACACCTGTTCTCCTGCTCTCAGGTCGATGCCCAGCTCCAGGTGGTGAGAAAGCTGGAGGAGAAAGAGCGCCTTCTTCAGGGCACCATCGGCACTGCAGAGAGAGAGTTGACGCTGCGAACACAAGCTTTGGACATGAACAAACGCAAGGTAACAAAGGGTTCAGTGATAAAGAGACACGGCCACAGAGAACGTTCACCTGCAGAAATATTACCATTATCAAAAACATTTAATGAGATCGATGGCTTTTCTGTCAGGCTCAGGACTCAGCGTTGCTCTCGGAGGAGGTGAGGACTCAGCTGGAGCAGGTGCAGCAGAGGCTCAGCCTCGTCAGAGAAGAGGTCATCGAAAACAGCATATCGAGGGAGAAGGAGTCCTTCAATGCTCGACGAGCACAGGTGACAACGGACGGGAAACATTCAGGCAAAAATGAGCATTTTGTTAACACCTGAGGCAGGAGCTGATAAAAATGTACCATTTCTAACTCCATACATCAGTATATATCAGTATATGTGTGATGACAAAATTGAGAGTTAATTTCAGGGGTTAAGGAAAATATTGATACACTGAAATATCGCCATATTTCATATCCTGATATATCAATATTCCACAACACTATTGATTTTTTTTTTTAATTAGATATACATTCATAGCAGATCCATAGCGTTTGGTCATTTGATTCGTTGGTTCATTTGATGAATTTAAATAACCTGATGTTAAGCAAAGTACAGCTTTGTGTTTACTATGCTAACAGTTTTCCTACAAATTGTTTTTTAAAAACTTGACTATATCGCCATGCCTATAGTATCACAGTATATCGCAATACATTGTATCGTTGCACCTTCATCGTGATACGTATTGTATCGCCAGATTCCTGCCAACACACACCCTCAGTTCCTTCATAATCATTCCTCCAAATGTGTTTCAGGAGGACATCTCCAAAATGCGGAGAAAGATTGAAAAGGCCAAAAAACCAGCTGAAAAAATCAGCAACGGAGACGACATCCTCAATGAAGAAATCAATGACTATAAGGTCGGTTCATATTTAACGCTTGTTGTCTCAGTGTTCAGGTGTACGGTCAACATACTCTGTACTGTTTGATAGTTTGGTCTGTAATGTTCATTTCCGAAGCAACATAGAGTGGCATGAAGTGGCTGCTGTTGGCAGTGGATAAATGAATGGTGTGTTCACGGCCGAGGAAGTCACGTCTCTATGATTATACACGGCTTCACTGCTGTCCTAGATATTGCTGCCCTCTCATCACAGGCCATTCATCTGAGAACAAAACTGTCCCTTCACTTCAATGTTCGGACCTCTCACTCACTCTGCTCCCCCCCCCCCTTCTGGTCCCCAGGCTCGACTGACATGTCCGTGCTGCAACTCGCGAGTGAAGGACGCCGTGCTCACCAAGTGCTTCCACGTCTTCTGCTTCGAGTGCGTGAAAACGCGCTACGATACGCGACAGAGGAAGTGCCCCAAATGCAACGCCGCCTTCGGGGCGAACGACTTCCACCGCATTTACATCGGCTGAAAATGTTCCCCCTGAACTGCTTTTTCAGAAGAAAGGGTAATGGATTTCAGCAGTAGTTCACACACTGCCGAGAGCATCGCTGCACTCAACTGGTTCATCCTCAAATTATTTATCGGCGAGTACCTGTGTCTGCAGGAAACTGTGGACGTGAACTCCTCTGATAGAAACGTCTTCTTTTGTTCTCTACAAAACCGTCCCTTCCCGTCAATGTTCGGACCTCCCCCCCCCTCTGCCCCCCCCCCCCCTTCTGGTCCCCAGGCTCGACTGACATGTCCGTGCTGCAACTCGCGAGTGAAGGACGCCGTGCTCACCAAGTGCTTCCACGTCTTCTGCTTCGAGTGCGTGAAAACGCGCTACGATACGCGACAGAGGAAGTGCCCCAAATGCAACGCCGCCTTCGGGGCGAACGACTTCCACCGCATTTACATCGGCTGAAAATGTTCCCCCTGAACTGCTTTTTCAGAAGAAAGGGTAATGGATTTCAGCAGTAGTTCACACACTGCCGAGAGCATCGCTGCACTCAACTGGTTCATCCTCAAATTATTTATCGGCGAGTACCTGTGTCTGCAGGAAACTGTGGACGTGAACTCCTCTGATAGAAACGTCTTCTTTTGTTCTCTTTTAAACACAATGAATTTAGCTCCTGTTTTCAGATGCTTCTAATGGAAGAGTGTGAGTGTGAGATGGTGTGTGTGAGATGGTGAGTGTGTGCGTGTGTGTGCGCGTGTGTGTGCATTTGGAAGCAATTACACAAGCCAGTTGACGGTGTGAAACAGCATTCCTAATTCCTTCCAGTGTACTTTCTGACTGTGTGGCTGTTGTGTTTGTAAATACTGTATGATGTTACTGTCTTTTTTTTATAATATGAAATCTGCCTAGTTGCTTCACATTCTTTTGAATTCTTAAACATCTGGCTTGATGCTGTATAATTGCTGACAGTTGGTTAATAATAATAATAATAATAAAAAAATTAAAACTGCCATCCATGCTGCCTGGCCTCCTGATGCTTTATCGTTCACATGTGCGCAGTGTAGCTAAAAAGTTAAACACAGTCTCCTGAGACAGAACCTACTAATAGTTTTAGCTTTAATGACGTTTTGATGTCAGTGACTTCCTCTCTTTTCTAAAATTGCTTTTTTTTTTGTATATTATTTTTTTACATGTACTATTTTAAAATTCTACATTCTTCCTTTTCAATTCATTGGTGGATGTGTTGTCTTTTATCAGTGTAAAATAGACGGGAAGGTGATTTGAACAAAAATACTTATTCAGCGGATGGAGAAAGTGAGGTGCCCGGGGGTAGGGGTGAGACTCCCGGGGTGAGTGGGGGGAGGGGGTGTCCATGTAGGTTCAGAAGTCACTGTCGAACACGGACCATGTAAAACCTGTTATTCGGCCATGATTGGCCCCTCCTATGACTATGGACACGCCTTTAGCATTAAGCTAATGTGTGATTTTAGACTACAACTCCCAGAGAGGAGATCAGCGTTTATTCTGGTACACACCGCCTTTGTCCTCCCCCTTCCTCTCCTCCTCCTCCCTCCCTCTTCTCCTCCGAGCCTGAAACTGTGGTTAGAAACGCTCTGAGGGAAGGAGTGCCAGACCAAAACCGCGACAGGAGCGTTTTTTGGGAGGTTGTGCAACGTAAGCCATCAAATGAGTGTTTCTGATGCTCAGTCCCGGACAAAGGAGCAGCAGGTCTGAGGTGTGTGGAGCTCCGAGCTAAATAAGAGGCTTTAGGGGTCCAGGATTCAGCTTCCTTTTCGTTTTCCTCCGTCCAGTTTAACGTGTAAAAGCTGCAGCACTAAGAAAACTTTGGAGACACCTCGGTGTCATTTTTTTTTTAAATTAACGACTTCCTGTTGCTTCTGGACGAACCATCGCATTTTTCTGCTTCTGTTGGAGATAAAAGGAGTTTTCAACGTGTTCTTACCAAATATAGTCCGTGTGAACGCTGCAGCTCCGCGGTTGGAATATTTGCCTTCCTGCCAAAGTTTATAATTAAATGATATGATTATTTTTAGCCACTTTAAAACAGGCTGAGTTTATTTTTAAATTTTGTCCAAATTTTACATTTTTTTTTAGCCTTAAATCTTAAAATCGCTGTGCGCCCCAACCCCTTCCATTCAACAGGAGCCATTTTTTAAGTCTTTTCTGCACAGAATTGAGATCCAGTCTCTGATTGAATCCCACTCAGGACTGTAGCTTCCAGTCTAAACGCCAACATTTTTGTACAAATAAAACCGTAACAATGGGTTTTTGCGCGTCTCGCTACGGGCGCAGTGGCTGCGCCGTGGCTCGGTTTTCCCTCATGCTGCTGGTGCTCGGATTGTTTGTGAGCTGGGAGCCAGCCGCAGCTCAGCAGGCTCGGCCGACCGAGGAGAAGCCACCGACGGTCACACTCCGCACCCTGATCACCGGGACCTGCCAGGAGATCCATCGGTACGCTGAGTCGGTGCTGGGAACCGGTGTGGTACGCTCCGTGGCAGAGGTACGCAGCCTAGAGCTGGAGATGATGTTTTCTTTCTCTTTAAATGTTATCCTGCTGATGACCTTAACGACTTATCGATTAATTGTTTGTTCGATTAATTTTTCAAATTGGTGTTTTAGCCACAAAAATGTTTGTTTCAGGATTTTCTTTGTCATTATATATATTTTTTCTTTGTATCTTAATGTAATAACATGTCATTTTTTTCTTTGTATCTTAATGTAATAACATAACTTATTTAAATAATGTCATTCGGGGTTAAAACAGTGCTGGTGAATAACTCTCTACTGTGGTCCAACTTAACTGCCTGCTTTTTCAACTTTCTTGGTTAACCGGTCCTGATCTCTAATTTCTCTTCTCTCCTCATGCACCTCAACACGTTAATCTCCCCCGTGACCTCCTCACCTTCTCTGACCTCACTTCTTACCATGTGATTTCTCTCACCAATCCTCACACACACACTTCTATCATGTATCCCATCTCCATGCTTCCATTCTGCTGTGCCCCCCCCCCCCCCCCCCCTAGAGTGCAGTGTTGTTTCTTGAGTCATTACTTGGTCAGGACAACGTCCATACAGTAACCATGGTAAGAAATGTCCTGAATGAGTCCATCTAGTCCACCCTGACCGAGTCGTGTGAGCATGCCTGTAGCTGAGTGTTGTCTTTTTTTTTCTTTTTTTTTTTTTTTGTATTTCTGTGAGCACAAATTTGCACGACATGCCTCCGTATTTGTGAGCTTGCGTTGATAAGATGCTGTTAATGTGCTGCCGAGCTGATGTGTCCTGTTTAGTTTATATGAGTGTAAAATATAGACTGGGTATGAAGTACTTCATGATCAGATGTTTACATGTGGAACTTAATATCACTTCACAGCAGCATTTCTGACTTTATTTAAAAATACAAAGGAATGAAAATGATAAAAGAAAAAAAAAACTGCTGACCTCTCTGCAATAGTGCAGCGGACACCTACAGGAGCGCATACCCAATGTTGAAGACTGCCACTTTAGTGTATGTAAAAGTAGAATATTTATGATAAACTCAGTAAAAAGGAAAACGATTTAAAAAAAAAAACATACAATCAGCAACGCCGATTTTTGTTGTTGTTTGAACAGTCGTCTTCAGAAAGACAGAGTAAATGTAACACAATGGGCCGACTGGGAGCCAACAGAAAATCCATACGGTAAAGTGAAGAGTGGAGTTCCTGCCAGAAGGTCGTCAGATTTAGAGAATTATCTCTCACTTTTTGAAAATTGTCCCAAATGATTGCAGTCTCTCATCAAACGTGATTTTATTGATTTCAGTTCAAAATAGAGCTGCACACTTAGAGCTTAGAGCTTAGAGTGAAGGTGAACCCGAAAGGTCACAGAGGAGCATTTCTTCCACATCACTGAGAGACATTTGGTCTTTTTTTTTTTTTCCTTTTTTGAAACCAAACAACCTTGTTTCTACTCATTTTATCTCCACACAGCTGTTGAAGGACACACAGTATTCTGTTCTGTCCTTGTGGAACTCCGTTTTACACCCTGAAGTCAGGACTTGGAAACAAAAACAGCAGCAAGGCCACAGGCTGAGCTGCAGACACTTCATCACAGCGTCTTAATGTTCTGTCACTCAGCCTTGGGGAACTGATCAGAGCAGTGAATGACCGCGTCTTGTTTTTGGAGTCATGTGACGGTGACAGATGTTCGCTCCTTCAAGCTGTGACATACGCTCCGGTCCACACATACGTGCAAATGTGTAGCGCGACAGGTGCAGATAAGAAACCTGCTGGCCTACCCTTGACCTTACATGTCGAGGCTGCAGTATGTGTGTGTGTGTGTGTGTGTGTGTGTGTGTGTGTGTGTAAGGGGGAGATTTGCGGGGGAGGTGAGTCGAGGTTGTACAGGAATAGAGAGAAACTCCGTCCAGCTGTCGTCCGCCTGTTTGTCCAGGCCAACAATACGACACAGCTCAGCACATCCTTAGAACTTTTACAACCTTTTAAAACGTGTATTATTAAAATTAGTTTTGTATGTATTATTCTATGTTTAAAAGTTGAAAATATATCTACAGTTTAAATATAAATATCAGCATGGATTCTTTTGTCCATACATGTGCGGTTTGTTTCCTTCAGTATTGGAATTACACTAGATTTAATGGAAAGACGAGCAGAGAAACCAGTGTCACGGGAAAAAAAAATTCAAATTGGTGAAACAACTCCTTTCGTACAACTATGTTTTATATTTTAAAAAATTAGTATAAATACATATTTTGGTTTTCTTTCCTCTTGTTTGTACTTTTTAATACAAAGGAAATAAAATAATATAAAATACAGAAATCTAAGACTTAAAATGAAAGTAAAAAGTAAAAAAAAAATACTAATTAAATAAAGACATATATGAAAAGTATAGATGATGTAACTTCACATTCAGTGGAATAATAACACAGAACAGTAAGCCCATAATGAGTTCTCAGTACTATTACTCTGTCGCGTTAGCGTCCAGAGTTCTCACAGCGCTATTGAAGAGTTGCCAAATTTTATGCACTATTCCTTTTAGAGTATTTTGTAGGAGTAGCTGTTGTTTCCCCCAGAGAGAAACAATCCATTTAGTAGTGAGAATTTTGCCTTTTAATTCATCACAGTATATTTTGCTGAGGTCGGCAGGATCCGTGTGTCTGTGTGTGCGAGTTCAGAGACGTCGGCCAAAACAGTTCCCTTTTTAATTTAATCACAGGGTTAGTGCCCAACAGTGCTGCAAATGTGAGACATCATTTTTAATGCCTGAGCGCTCTTTAAAGTGGACCTGCAAGAATTACGTGAATTAGGTAAATGAAGCCTAAACTGCAGGGGGTGCTAAAGTTGAAATTATCTGGCAAATTAGTTTTCTAAGGTAAGGCCTCATGGTTAGCTCTCTGCACTGGATACAAGAAAAAAACATCTTATGGCAGAAACGCCTGAGTCAGCAGAACAGGCTTTGGTGACGGTGCCTTAGGCCAGTATACATTAGCATAGCATGATTTATCTAAGCTAAACTTTTGAAGCGTGACTCGCAGTGTACACTGTCCTCACAATAAAGCTCCTCCTTTATGGATTATTTGAAATGTCATCCTTTGTTTTTGAAGTTTCCCTCCAGTGATACTGTGTCTGTCTGCACATTAGAGCCAAGTGTGTCCATGTCATTTTGTCACTCTGTCCAGTGCATGACTATCTGTGAAAAGAATGCTGCCTCTCTTCATTTCTGAGCTCCTGACTAAGTGAAAACCTTTCCTCTCCACCCTTTCTCCTCTTTGACCCAGTTTTTTGAGATGGTTATCCGATTCCTGGCCGAAGGAGCTGCCAGCGGCCTCAACGTTATTGCCGTTTACGTCACCGAGATCCTCAGGGTGACAGGATTTGACGGTGAGTGCCAGGATTTCCCCTGATTTGATTTCATGGCCTTTTCACATTGCCCACTGCAAGCTGTGTCTTCCTGTGTTCAGTAGGAAAGGATCTCTGTCAATGAAAGTTAAAAACAAAGCCTTCCCTTCTGCCTCGGGGCAGAGCGTCCACCACACCTTTACAGTCAAAACAAAGACAAAGACGTGCCACACATTTCTCCTTTACGACGAAGCTGTTTTTCTTTTTTTTTCCACAGCTGCTCTGACGCTGCCTCGCTTCACCCCAGAAGGTGTGACGGCCTTCGCCCAGTGGGGTCTGCTGGCTCTCATCGGCTACTGGATTCTGACAATCGTCCTGCGGTTGCTAATGGCGGTGTTCAAGCAGGTGTTCTGGGTGGTGAGAACCGTCTTGGCGCTCTGGTTCTTCGGACTGATTGTGAGCGACAAGACGGCCACCTCAGACACCACGGCGCTCCGCCTGTCCGGTCTGGTGCTGGTGTGCGCTCTGTTGACGCTGCTGTCTTCTACGTCGGAGAAGTCACGCGGAGTGGAGAAGCGCCTGAGTGTTCTGGAGAACCGACTGAGGGCAGTGGAGAAGAGGAAAGGGGAGTAAAGGTGGAGGAGGTGAATGATGAGTGACAGGGATGGAAATATGAGAAAATAGTATCAGTGCTGGTTTCCAAATGTGTCTAATTATTGTGCAAAATAAAATCTGTGGGGATTTTTAATCCAAGAGTGGAGTTTGTGTTCAACACGTTAGTTCATTTTATTCCTTTATTTTATTCGCATAATGATTTACGGTGACTCCTCGACTTGCGTCGGAAAGCTCACTTGCGACGTAACTCTATTTGCGCCGAAGGTCGGAACTGGCATACTGTACATCGGTACCTATGTCGGTCCGCTACACTAACACAGTGGCAACGTCTAGTTTGAGTGAGCTTTTGGCTGTGACTGTGTGACTGTTTGTAAAGGGACTGTAACAGAAACAAATGCAAACTCTCTAGCTGTGTGCTAATATGTTTAATTGGCATCACATATTGTCTAAATTGAACAACAGACACGTCCAACACATTACATATGCTGGGATGTTTCAACCACAAAAAAAACCAAAACAAACAAACACAGCTACCTAACAGGATTTACAACATTCTTTCACATGGTAAAACATTCAAAACAAAACCCATTGCTAATTTGCATTGTATAAACATGCAGAAAAACAGGACATGCACAACAGCCTGTGTTTTTTACATCCACATGTGATTAAGCGTACCAAGTGGAAGAAACAAAAAGCTGCAGAGGTATTTTAATGTCACTCCGTTTGTCTGGAGGGCGACTTAGCACAAAGAGAAGGCAACTGGGGTTTGGATATTTTCAAAAGACATGTATGTGTGTATATATATATATATATATATATATATATATATACGCAGTGTATATGAGACTGTTTGCATGTGACCAAATAAACCTGATAGCCCTAATATTAAAAGAAAAAACATTAATAACTAATGACTGAAAGCACGTAATAGGAGGCTGACTCCAAAACAATTTAACTAAACGTTCAGCTGATGCTGTGCTCTTCAGCTGAAGATCAGGCCTTAAATTTCCACTTAAGGTCACTGCAGATGATGACGTAAATGCAACATATACATATTAAAAAAATAATAATACGAATGATCAACACTGCACTGCTACCATCATTTGAGGGGATGAAATGTGCGGCTCTTGTGAATTACATTTGGTGGTAAAATGGTAAAAATTGCACTTTCTGTGATTCATGTAGTGTCAAGTCCATATTCAGACCTGAGTAAAGGTCTATGGCTGTTGTTGGCACAGCTGTCAGTAGAGCTGCTATATGTTTGATGAAACTTCCGTGCTCACCTGGGACGGTCTGGCTTTATCTATGGCTTTAAACATGCTCGTCACACATGGTCGGTGAAGGCCCTGAACGTTTAAGGCAGTGAAAACTTATCGTGGTCTTCACTTTTCTGTTTGTTTCCTGGTGTTTAAAAAAACAAATACTTGCCACAGTGAAACAACACAGAAACGTCCCTTGGTGACATGTGACCTTGTCAGTGCACAAAACTTTGGACTGCTTTTTTTTTTTTAATTTTAGAGGAAGTTAAGCTTGTCTGAGGTGTAGACACTACTGTAGTTGGAGTCTGAGCTGAGAGGAGCTGCAGATGAGAGGTTCAATCCCTTCCATTCAAACTGTGGCATGGGGTCGGAGGACAAAGGGGCAGTGGGTCCACAGGAGTCAGGGACAGTGGGCTCAGGAGGAGGAGGCAGAGAGGAGTGGAAGGAGTAGGAGACAGTGGGGTCAGAAGGAGGAGCACAGGGGTTAGCGGAATAAGAGACAGTGGGATCATGTGACGGCCGTGATGGAGCTACAACCTGGGAGAAAAAGATGAGAAGTTCAACAATCAGTGTTTGCAGTCTGTCAATAAACTCATGTTGATGGTTAAGAAAAAAAGACGTTCTATCATGTCACTAATTCTCACGACAACAGGAATGAATAATAAAAACCAAAAGGAAACAAATCTGAACTGTAATCTGATCATAGAATTATCCTAATGAGGATGAGGCTGCGTTCCTAAATCTCTGTTTAACATTATAACTGGGATGTGAGTTCCTTCTGGCCTAATGTTTGGGATAGTGACTTTGACAGACCTCTTATTAGGCTGTACCAATGAATATGTGTGTGTATGTACGGGTGTGTAAATCATACCTGAGAATATGAGGGTGGTACATTCAGGGTAGGATTGTGTATCTGCAAAGGGAAGACATGCATTATATTAGCAGGGAAGAGGGTACAGATCATTTAAGCAGAGTTTCTCTTGTGTTACTGACGACCAACACGTAATCATCCAGACAGCTATAGACAGCTATAAAAGCTTAAAAAAAGAGGGATAAGAGCCTTTCCTCAATTCCTGCAATTACATAAACATTGTCCAAAGAAAACTGCAAGAAAATTGAAACTAGATCATTGCATCCGATCACACTTTTTGTGCCTAAAAAAGGTTGGGAAACACTGCCTCAAATCATTAAGCCCCGTCAGAGTAAAACTAATATTTAGCTTTGTTGTTTTTTGCTGCTAAAGCCACAGAAAATATTTATCCCGGGTCAGTGAATACTATCTACAGCAGAGGTCACCAATGTGGAAGGAGCCCCAAGGTGTCCGAAGGCTGTGTTCTTAAAATAAAACTAGTCAACAAGTGGGTCAAAAAATGTACTGTTGCTGTGCTTTTTGAATCAGTTACACCTGCAACGATATTCAAATGGGTGTAATGACGATGTCTGCTACAGAACTAATTATTATTACATTGTTTGAGAAGTCTGTATTAAACAAGTAGCTCTCTGTATTAGTAAGTACCTTTGAAGTAGCTCTCAGTTTCAAAAGGTTGGTGACCTCTGATCTACAGCATCCAGTTTTAATGATTCCAACAGAAGCAGTTATTTTTATTTGGAGGATTCAACGACAGGCTTTAAAAACCCTAACTGATTGTGAGTGTGGTGTATGACATTACCTGGGGGCTAGTGGAAGAATAGGGGTAAACAGGGGGCGTCTCAGGAGGCCGATTGCCTTCACCCAAAAGTAAAACAGCAGGCTCCCGTTCATACTGTCAGTTAAAGTAAAGTAAAAAGAACACAACACAAAACAAATGAAACAGGATGAGGAATGTGTGATTTACATAGTGTAGAACAAAGTGTCGTCTGTGTTAGTGGTACCTCATTGTGTTGTGCAGCCGGATCATTAGCTGCTACAATACCATCAATTTCTTTTTTCGAGCTTTTATTGCTACATTTAATGCAACAGCAGCAGCACATCAAGGCAGCGATAGCACTAACGATGGAAACCACCAGCACCGTAACGTTAATAGAAGGAGCTGAAACAATTCAGAAGACAAGTCAGTCAGAAAGTGACATGCGATGAAAGGCACATTTTCTTTAACAGGAACATGAAAAAAAAAATCAACATAAAGGAAACTCACAGATTGCAATTAATTCCACAGAGTAAACCAGGTTGTTCTTAAGATCTTTGACCTTGTAGCGTCCATTGCATGACAATTCAAAATCCTGAATTGAAATGTGACATGGATCTATTAAAGTAAGTTCTCCACAGATCCATCCCCTACTTCTGGAACTCTGCAGCCTTCCTTTATAAACTACATTAATCTCAGACCATTCTTCCCCATCTTTTATTTGGATAAAATAAATGTTGCAGTTATTAGGATCAAGATTGAAACTATAGTTGAATTTCCCATTGAGGGCCACGTCATAGGACAGTGTCAATGCTGGAAAAGAAGAAAAAAAAAAATTAAATATTTTCCACTGTAAATCACATTCACCACAACCTGCATTCTTAATATTAGGACCAAAACAGGACACTGTCAAAACACATCAGGGTAAAAGAAGGACAAGTAATAAAATAAATATTATTGTTAGTTATTCAATAATCATTCATTTATATTTTATAAAATATAAATAATGTATTTATAAATATTCAAATGTTTGGTCCTAGTCAAAGCTCTATTCAAAACGTGTTTCACATTTACACTTTCAATGTTTCAGAAAGTAAGATGGCACAGACCAAAGTGAATCCCTCACCTTGTACTTGAAGTGTGTGTCTGTTCAACTTGTTGCCTACGTTATCCAGCGCTATATAGGTGCCAGCATCTTCATGGGTTACGTTGTTCATATCGTAGAACATACGAGTGGTTTTGATGGTCATCCTCCCCCTGTGACTGGAAGAGTCATAAGGCTCTGAAATTCTCCAAATGACTCTCTCTGCCCCGTGTTCCGGGATGAACTTTACAGTTGTTGCCCATTTAAAAAACATAAATTGGACACTGTCCCCGTAATTCTTAACCTGAGCTCTGTAGCCTGGAGAGGAGGACAGAAGCATTTACTTCGGTTATACTAAATATTAACAATGTCTCAAAATAAGTCATTAAAACACATTGTCTACGCTATATTTATACAAACATGGCACAATAGTTGTACTTTATAAGATCTTTAGTTTCTCAGGAATATGAATGGCAGAACGACTGCTTACATTTTGTTTTGAAGAAAAAAATATTCTTCAACTGTTTTGCTGCAACACGTGCAAAACTAAGTTATTAAACATGTGTTTTGCTCTCTGTACTCACCCCTGCAAGCACAGGACAGCAGTAGCAGCAGAGACACGAACTTCATTGCGATTCACCGTGGTGATAAACACAACCCGAGTCGATGGATTGATAAGCCGTGCTACTGCCGTGTGTAGTTCATCAACTTGTAGTTTCTGCCAGGATAAAAATCGACTACTGCAGAATCCTTATAAAATGATTTTTTTAAAAGTTCGGGGATAAATGTATACTATTTCCTAACGGTGTGTGTCCGTGGAATGTATTTTCTTTTGACCCACCCACATGAACGGGCGTCTCCGTACAGGATAGACACATGGTGCGTTTGAGGACTGTCAGAGATTACAACTTTTCGCCTCACATGTTTTTGTAACATGAAGTACATAATGATAATATTAAATTCTAGCGGACGGTCGTCCTGGCATCACTAGTTGAGCTGAATAGAGCATTAATAAACTAAAGTCAAGACTTGATACATCTCCCGTTAGTTTCGATAGTCTCCTTCCTGATTCCTGCAAATTAAATATCTCGGAATCCCGAAAGAACAAGCAAGACTGCGCTTGCGTGGAAAAGACCATCAAATGCATATGTAGTTTTCGTTCACGTGGTCGAGCAAGACATATACAGCATCCTGTTTGGTCAGTTTTGCTTAGTAAACCAATGAGGTTTGAGTGGGCGGGCTATTTTTATTTCTTATGTTTTTCTTCCGGTCTGAAAGTGAGTGGTTTTTCATTACCTGTGAAGGTTTAAATGAGTATAAAACGTGTACGTCTGCATTTAGAATTGCCGAGTAAAATTCCATATACTAGGATGTTAGTGGACGGTACTTTACGGAACAAATGAACGTGATCTATGTATTTCGTTGTAATTTTTATGTTATGTAAGGAGTTTCTTGGAAACATTTTTTAAATTGTAAAACTCTATATAACAAGATATCTGGCGTTGCCAAACAAATTATTAAATGTATTTTATTGTGTACATGCATTATGTTTACAATGTTATGCAACTTCACATGTAAAAGAAAATGAGAAAATGTTCATCCTAGTCACAAAATATAACACAGCTGTAGACTATAAAGGGGTACAACAACCTGGTTATTTCACCAAACATCAAAGCACATTTAGTAAGAACATGAAGCGCGAGAAAAGTATCAGGATACTTTAGTGTTACATTTAATATTTTAAGAGATATACATATAAAACAGCTTAAATATATACAGAGACTCTCAATAATTGTATGCCCAACACATTACAATAACACGATGAGTTGTATTTTAACTGGTACCATGCACATCCATTTTCAATGAAAATAAATATACTAAGTCGGAAGTGCACAGTGGTATAGAGGTGTTTTATTGTCACCTCATTAGTTTGGAGTGACCAAATCTGGGTAAAGGTCTAAAGCACTGCAGAACAATCCCTGAAGTTTTCCACATTAAGGCTGCAATTTATTTGTTGCTTAAATCCTGACAGGATTGCACCCAGCAACTGAACTACATTGGAAACTGATGGCTTTATATTAGTAATACTGTACATGACCTCCATGCACATATTATAATGGTGCATTAACATAAGTATTAATGCACCACCTTATGACCTGGGAATTGAATTACATTCCTTGTTTTTGTTTCATTATGGCAGTTGTGTAACAGACTGATTCTTTGAAACTGTTGTACCAGCCAAAGACATTGAGGGATATGTAAGTCTCCGACTCTGACATGTTTCAATGGTCTTCTTCATTTTAAAGTTTTCAGAGAAAGTTGAGTTGGTCTGAGATATAGACATCAGTGACGGTTGAGTCTGATCTGAGAGGGGAAGCTGAGGAGATATTCAGACCTTCAACTTCAAACCGTGGCTCATTCACAGAGGAGAGTGGGGCAGTGGGTCCACCAGAGAAAGGCACAGTAGAGTCACAGGGTGGAGGGGGAGAGTGGTCACAGGAAACAGTGGCAGATGAAGAATGCTTCCGATTAGCTGGAGCTGAAACCTGTGACGAAACATGATAATACATACAGACTTTTAGTTCACACACAATTTCATTAAACGAAAACAAACAAAGGAATGCATGATTTTTAAAAGGCAGCTAGCAAGTTTAGCAAGAAGCTGATTGTTCAAAGAATATTTTAATATTTTGTATCTGGCAATAATAGCCCTAAAAGGCATGTCCTTTGTCCTTTTAGAGGAAAAAGGACAGCTGTATTTGGCTATGATAGACAGTCTTCTGTGTTATTACGTGCAACAAGGACTTGTACAGCTGAAAGGTCAAACGACAACCAATACACAGATGCATGTAACAGTCATTTTTGACAATTACCAGTCACATCAAGATACTTCATTTTAGTGTTGTGTATTGGCAAGAGCCCGGGGATACGATACATATCACGATACGGGGTAAGGATACATTATACCATGATACATTGTTCCAATATAATATATATATATATATTGAGTTTATTTTGACAATTTAATTGTAGGAAAACTGTCAGCATACACGCTTAACAACAGGTTATTAAAGAGGGGCCTACATTTGTTATTGTTGAGGTAGAAAAAAAAACATACATAAATAATAAATAATTGTTAAACTTTGTTTGTGTGTACAGGTCCAACCTCAGAATATGCAGGTGGCGCATCAACCATAGGATTGAATATCTGCATGGAAGAGAGATACTCCACATTAGTAGAGAAGAGGGGAAATACAGTTAGGGTAAGAAATGCACTATTGTTACTGATATTTTCATCACTGTTTCACTAGTGAAGGCAGAAACATGTGAAATGTTTTGCAACCTTGACCTAAAGAAGCTGAAATAGATTCATCATTCATTTAATATTCCTATGTTTTTTTGTGGCTTGATATAAATGTATGTTTATTGGAAAAACCTCAGAATATGCAGGGGGTGGGTCCACAGTAGTATTGTGTATCTGCAAAGAAAAGAAAGGCAACATATAAAAAGGTGAGGAAAGACATTTTGGTAAGTGTTAACAACAAATACACTATTGTTGCTGATTGTTTGTAACCAGAAAATGTGTGTGTGTGTTTGATGGACTGGTGAGGTGTAGACCATTACCAGTGGGCTCAGTGAAGAATGTGGTTGAACAAGGTACGGTGTATCACAAGGCCTACTGTTGTTACCTATAGGCTCTCGTTCATGCTCCTTTTGGGGGTTAAAAAAAAAAGGAATAAGAAATGTGTGGTTTTGTCAGTTGAACTTAAAGCAGAAAGTTTGTTTACCTCATTGTAATTTTGAGAAGATTCATCAGCGTCTGCAGCATCCTCAGCGTTCTTTGTAGGGGGTTTCGTGCAGCAGCAGAACTTGATGCACGAAAGGAGTATAGGACCAATAACAATGATGGAAATCACAAAGGCCGATACATTAAATGGAGCTGAAATGAGACCATTTTCTATGCGTCATAAAGTTGCATTTTTCACCGTGGAAGCTCCAAAATACAAATATAAATGAGCACAAAAGATACTCACAGACAATACTTAGTTCCAAAGAGTAGGCCAGGTTGCCATTACTATCTTTGACTTCAAAGCGTCCACTGCATGACGTAATGGCAGAGGTCATGTAAATCATGCACGGCTCCACATACTTAAGGCCGTCACAGAAAAATAAGTTGGCCATCTGCTGCCTGCCTTTATCGACTAAGTTAAGCAAGGCTACTTCTTGGCCATCTTTTTTCTGAATAAATGAAATGCTGCATTCATCTTTTACTAGATTGAAACTGTACTCAAATCTTTCCTCAAGATTAGAGTCAAGGCAGAGTTTTTTCGCTGAAAAAGAAAACACAAATGGAAATGGGTTTATAGCAAAATCAAAAAGACCTTTGCAAAATGAATTCCCCCAGTCCTGTATTTTAAATCTGTGTAATGGGACCCTTCATATAATATTGTCACAACACAGCAGGTGAAATAGGTGATAACTCCATTACATTAGATGACATTGTGTAAGTATATATTTAATTCAGTTCTGTTTATGTAAAGAGAACAATGACAAGTCCTCACCTTCTACTCCAAGAGAATATGCGATGACATGACGGCCAGCTTTATCCTTCACTACATAGATGCCTTCATCTTTATAGGTTAAATAATTAATCACATAGTGCCTTCCAATCTTTCCCCCCCTATATTTCGTAGGAATTTGAGTATTTGAAGCACTCCAAAGAAGTATCTCTTTTCCTCCTCCAGAATAGAATAATGATAATGAATATGCTCGGGAATCAAACGCTATCTTGAACGTATCCTCAAAATCCTTCAAAAGATGAATTATGTTGCCTTAAAAAAATATCAGAAGAAAGGAGATAGTATTAGCATAACATTTATTTAGGACTATCAAAAGAAAAACATTGAATAATTAATGGGGTAGTTGTTTTAATGCTGATTATTTCACAAATAACATTAACTGGTTATTTTGACAGCCCCCCATAAAATTAACACAAAGGATACTCACTGAGTACATTTAGTTCCATAGAGTACGCCAAGTTGCCAAGATTATCCTTGATCTCATAACGACCACTGCATGATGTTGTGGCATCATTCATTAAAATTTGACACGGTTCTTTATATTCCAGTGCTTCACAGAAAGATTCAAGTGAACCCCTCTGCAGCTGTCCGTTATGAACTAAAACAATCTTAGATGGATCTTCTCCACTTTTGAATGGGATGACATTAATGTTGCAGGCATTTTTATCAAGTTGGAAAGTATAGTTGGAGCTCTCATTAACTGCCAGAATATTAGACATTGCCAAGGCTGGAAAGGAGATACACAAAAAATAGAAAAATGTTTGCACAAACATTTTTTTGCATATACTTGCATTCACAAGGGTTTAGAAAATAAGAGAGAAGAGAAATAACTCCTTACCTTCTACTTTAAGGCAATATGTTGCCACATTGATGTCAAATCTACCCATCACTTTATAGGTTCCACTGTCTTGATAGGTTACATTGTATATCTCATAGTTACTACCAACCCTCTTCCCCCTTTGGGTTGAATTATTTTGAGAACCAGATTTTTCCCAAATAATTAGCTCTCTCCCATCCACGGGGTAGAACTTCAAGACTGTAGATCTGTATCCGAGAGAAAATTGGGCTTTGTCACCATAGTACACAATACGATGAAGTGTGCCTAGAAAGAAAGACAAAAAATATATTTGAATACAACAATGCACCCATTGTAATAAGTAAATGCATATTTTTAAACTTAACATATTCACCAAACTGGTGTTTGTTTATTTAATTGTTTTTTCATAGAAAACACACTTCTTGAAATATTAGTAAAATATTTTATTTATCAGGCAACGGATTATTGAAAACATCGTGTTTTTCCCCCACTGACATTTATAGTGTTTACAAATATTAGCTAACTTTACTACTTGGTTAAAATCCCTTTTATTTTGTAATGTATATTTTAAAGATGTATTTGTAAGATATTTCAGAAAAATTCAAAATAAATAAAGAACTTAAAATAATAATATTTGGAAATGTAGGTTCAGTTCTACTACTTAGGTCACAGTTTTACCTGTTGCGAGAATACTATCATATAGCGTAGGTTGTTCACACTTTTAAGAAGTAAACCAAAACTGACGTTTAAATAAATAATATGAATTCTCCTTTTACTTACCCATGCAAACACAGACGCAGGGCAGCAGCAGCAGCAGTAAAACGACCTTCATCGTTATCCAGCGAGATAATAAAACAGAAACTATAATACCTATCCCATTTCCGGTCAGAAAAACAAACCACTCTCTTTACTAAACTCACAGACTGGGTTTGTGGACGTTTTTGTCATTTTCTGACGTGTATGTGTCTTTGCGATGCCTTATTCTCTGGTCCTTCCCCTCAGCGCTTTTCGGTAAATGACACTCTGGTGTTGCGTTTAAGGTCTGTGGGAAACGTATGTAACATGTAATGTAAATTGCACTGCTTTTGAAGCATTCAAACAATGTAATTGTTTACACATAGTAATTCATGTTTATTCAAGTATTGTTGAGTTACACTGAACATTTGTTACATCACAAAAACGGAACTCACCACGTTCTTGTCTATATTTGTTTCAGAAAAAGGTACAAATACACAAAAGTATTTTCACAGCAGCCATTTTGAAATGGCAAATGCACAACTGTTCAGGGACCACACAAGGGTACATGGCTCAATTCCACTAAACCACCGCACTTCGTTCCTGCTCAGTGAAACTGAACTCTCACCTTCTTTTGCCTTCAGTGTAATAGTAAGGTAAACATGCTTATATGCAATTTTTAGTATTACCGCTCACTGTGATCACTGTGTTTTTTTTGTTTGTTTGTTTTTTGTTTTTGTTTGTTTTTTTGTTTTTAAGGTGACCTGGGTGACTGACAACTTAAAGAGACAACTGTTACTCGTCCATTTTAATGAGTGGGGACAAAGAAAACATACACATCTACTCTTCATACGGCACTGGGGCCATCAACGTCCATAAGATTAGTGTAAAGATTGTACGTAAATGCGGCTGAGAATACCGACGACTCTTCGCTATAAATAAAACGGGCTCACTGCACATGCGCAATGTGCAGAGGACGGCATTATCCTCTTCCTCTTCTGTCATTTGAGCGTCACTCAGTGGACAGACTCTCTAGTTATTCTACAACAGGTGAGTTTCATTCAGGGTTCTATAAACGCTGCTACGATTTTCCGTGTTATGTGACAAAACCGTGTCCGTGACGCACAGCGGCGGACACCTGACCGGAGAGGACGTGTTTTCACAACATAACGAACATCATGGAAAATATCAGAACAGAACCAGCTTAATTCCTCCTGCAGATCTAAACGGTTCTGCAGGGGCGTATGCTCTCAATTTAATCCCGTTTGACTGGCGACGATGATATGGGGTACTGTGAGGTTATCCACTGAGTTATATAAAACAATAATATTCTGTATCCACAGGAGAAGATGTCATCCTGTTCACTCGCGGGCCTTTTATTTATTCTCCTCTTTGTAGGTAAGTTACTCATCGTTAATATGTTTGTATGCTGTGATTGGAAATAGAGTGCATGCGGCTCCTCTGATTCCCCTGAGAGTTGAATTATAAAAGCATTTTTCAAAATATCTTTACAGATGAAAGTACACAATAATATTATTCATTATTTTTTTAAGAATAAGTAAAGCACGTGGACCAGAGTGCAAAATAAGTTAGTGCTCTTGTCGTGCATCAAAAAGAAAAAAAAATCCCATGTGTTAACTGGCCATTCTGTATGGAGTTAACATGTTTTCCCTTCTTTGTACATAGATTTTCATATAGTACCCTTTAAAACATGAATATTTACAGGAAGCCATAGTTAAAAAATTGACATGTAAATCATGTACATGGTTCTTCTTACAGGTGCAGCCAGTTTTGGTGAGTCACACCTCTTGCAGTTCCACTCTGATAAATCTCTTTCTCTGTTCATCTGTCTAGTTGAACTCACTTTATTTTCCAATTTCCCACAGATGGAAGAGAACAAGTAAAAACAATTTGTAACGGAAAGGAATTTCATTTGCCTGTGTACACAAGGTACAGCAGTGTCATATTTACCCCGGACGATGGCGGACCAAAGCGCATCCTGCTGGAGGAAACCAATGCGAGTGATGCAGGATTTACGTTCATGTTTTCGTGTGGTGTTTATGCGCTTAGATATTCTCTAAACCTTTTTACAAATGTAGGTTCTGGACTCTCGCTTCAAGTGGACCAGAAATATGGTGTTAGTGGTGGAAAAGGTGACTCACGGTGATCAGGGCCGTTACGCCATCGGACACATTCCTGGATTCACCTTCGAGACTGTGCATCTGACTGTTAAGGGTATCATGTTTTTCTCATGCCTCAAGATATCTGTACTAAGTCGTACGTTTTGCTTATTGTGTTGTCCTTGTCGTTCTGCAGATTGCTCCAAGAACTACTACCGAAACTATGGAGACAAATTTGAGGTCAGAATCGACAAAGGTGGCGTCTTTCTTGAGTTTTTTCCCCGAGGTGCTCCACCTGAGTCCATGCCCGTTGTGCTCTGGAATCAGACCAATCCCCAAACAAGCAGCGTGGGACGTGGTCGGCTACTGCAAGGTAGAAATGTCTGGGTGGCTGAAAGAGTGACCCAAGTGGACCAGGGCAACTTCACAGTCAGAGACAAAAATGGAAATGTGTTGTCCCGCAGCATCCTGACTGTCCATGGTGAGAACAGAAAACTCACTGGATGACAGATTTTCAATTAAGGACGAGTTCCATTGGTGATAATTATATTTTGTTTTTTCTCTTTTTGCATAACCCTGTATCATACATTTTCATGTCCTTCATTGCCCACCCTCTTGTCTCTGTTGCATGAAAACCTGCATGTGAAAACAGGGCGCATCTCCAATATAACCCACTTCACCAAAGAGTCTCTGAATTTGCCCCTCGTTCTTCCTGTTAGTTATGTCCACCTCACTTTTACACCCACCCAACGCCCAAATCATTCCTCCTTGGGCTTTGTGGACCTCCACCCACCCAGTGACCCCATCCAGTTGATCCGTGAGGGTAAAATAATAGACCACGACGTGCGCTACAGGGGCCACGTCTTTCTGGGCATGAATGGTACGACCCACGTGGTCATTATAGAGAGGCTGACATCAGTGCATGATGGAGTTTATGAAATCAGAGATGGAGATGGAAACCTGGTGTCCTCCACCTCAGTACATGTGATAGGTGAGTCATGGCACATCAGCGTTTCTATAACGTTCCTCATTTCTATCCAGGTTTCTTTGCTTCATCACAGTCTATTTCTGATTCGGTCTCTCTGCGAATTTTAGAAAAGATAGGCAAATGGAGAGCACTTCTCAAGTCCGTCTCTGTCCCTTCTGGGATGTTTGTGTCGCTGGCCGGTTTCGTCCTGTTCTTGAAGCGCTACCCACACTGCAGCTTGTCACACATCATTACGTGTTTCAGAGGTAACCGTGGACAACCGGCAGCTCACCCCCCAAGAGTAAACATTCAGGTAAGAGAATGGTCCATAGGTGGGTTTGGGATTTTAAATATGCTAACACACAAGACCAACATTCATTTGTACAGACCTGAATGATAATAAATATGTTTGTGTTAAATCCTATTATATAATATTCCCTATATCAGACCAACAGACCACGAGCTGGAAACTCCCCTTGTCACAATACAACTACTGCGGTAAAAAATAAAATAAATCAAATATTGGATCTCATTATTAAGATACATCACCACATCCCAGTGAGTCACAGACCCAAATATTGTTTGATTCCTTTACAGCAGAATAGACCTATCGAAGAAGAGAGGAGAGTTTCCTTTTCATTGCCTTGGTCTTCAGATTGTCTGCAATCATCTGAGGACTGTGTTCAATTCCAGATCAAAAATGAAAAAAAGGAAAATACCAACACTTCTCGGGGCGACTTTTCTACTCTGCCACTGGACAAAAATATAGCTGAATCTGGCAGTGTTTACACTTCAGAGAAGCTGAACTTTTGAACTGACAATTCAAGTTGAAGAGGAAAAGGAGATATCTGGCTCTGAGGCTCTGAGAAACAATATGTTTTGGCTCTTGACTTTTGTTGAAAAAAAAATGCTATATGTGCCTTTTATACCTTAACATAGTTTAGTATTGATAAAGCATATTATTTCCTTCATGAGATTCTGCTGAAGTTGGCATGAGCTTCTGTTTCCCACCTGACTCTTTTAACGGTGCTTCTCATCTCTACTGCTGTTACCTACCTCCGGAATCTCAGGATCAACGCTTGCTGTACTGTATTCTGCACATATGTACTTGCAGCATGTTTTTCTATCCAAGGGAATGTACAAACGTCCTTTTTCTGATAAAACATTTACTTTCAAGATTTGTTTTAATTCTATATAGAGACATCCATTCAATGGATCTTTTTTATTTTTACAGCATGTTGTATCCATGTCATTTTTTTAAAGTTTTATTTGAAACTCTATAAATAATTGCAGTAATGTCTGATGAAATACATAATAGTCCAACAGATATTGAAATGACCTAACCCTTGTGTACAGGACAATTATGGTTATCACTACATATTTAATTGTCAAAACAGGCTGGACTGAAAGGACTGAAAGTGTAGCCTAGAGAAGTTCCTCAATATGCAGTGTGACACATGATAATATTATTATGTCTATGTCAATTCATGTACATGTTTTGTATATGTGATTTGTTTCTAATATATACAATGTAATATAGGTATATATATAGTAACTGTTGTCTTATCCTGTTAAGTCCAAATAAAACCCATTTTATTGTGAAAAGGCCGACTCTTGATATATTTTATGTCAAGACAACGATCAGTAGAACATTAAAAAGAGTAGTCGTAAAACTTTAACCATTAGAAACCTTTTTATCCGCTTCTTTCTATTTGTGGAAGGTTTTATAACAATTTTCCTTTAAATGCATTTTATTTGGAAAAGCGATGATAAATAAATCACATAATAATAGGTAGTATGGGTAATAATCGTATTATTTTTAGATTATTTTTCACCTTGCATTTACACGTTAGTTTCTTTGCTTACAGTAGTGACCCGTATTAAGCAGTAGGAGGCAGTAATGCGGTGATGCACTTTGTGCGTAGAAGAAGAAGTCAGGGTTGTAGCGGCAATGAAAGAACAGCGTGCTGCTTTAAAATCCAGCAAAATAAAAGTAAAGTATTGATCAGCCACTGAAAGTTACTGCGAGTAGACCTTTTTCATCATACTTCGGAGGTTCTTAGCAAAATTTAGGACTGCACTTGGAGGATGTCTTTGGTTTGTGCCAGTGAGTGAAGTTGTATTCTCTGAATTAACGGGTACAGCTAGGCTGCTCCTGGTTAGCTAAACGCTAAATGCCACTGCTAATGTGCTAATGTTAGCGGCCACGCATTGCCGCCTTATACTTGAAACGATAGTTAATGGTTCCTGGTTCCTGGCATACTATTTTACGGACATATTGCATGTGTAGTTTTAACCGCATGTGTTTCTTTATTTTTTCTTAGTCTCCAATGAGGTGCCGGAGCACCCGTGCGTCTCTCCGGTTTCTAACCAGGTGTTTGAGCGCAGGCTGATCGAGAAGTACATCGCAGAGAATGGAACGGATCCGATGAACGGTCAGCCTCTGTCAGAGGAGCAGCTAGTGGATATTAAAGGTAAAATTCGATTTCCTAACGATCGATTACTTAAACCCTTGCAACTATCGGTAGATCTACAAAAAGTGAATTTATCCTAATGCAGTGCGTTTGACTACGTGAAAGTTAGAGCTAAGCTATTGGTTGGAGTTGAAGTTTGAGGTGGTGCATAACATCCCATTTATCTCAAATTGCCTCAAATTTATGATAAAAACAAGAATTGCGGTTGTAATTTCAAATGTTAATTCTAAAACAGAAATAAATTACTTTTTTAAAATAAATGATTAAAATATAAGTTTATAAGTTCTCTGACACCCCAAAAGACAACACCAAAGCTAACGTTGATGTAAATAATACTGTAAGATTGAGATTTGTTTTATGTATGTTTTCCAGTTTCCCATCCCATTAGACCAAAGGCACCATCAGCAACCAGTATCCCTGCTATTCTCAAGTCACTTCAAGATGAGTGGGTGAGTGATGTTCAAGTGAAAAACTAGGAGCAGGTCTTTCTGTTTGTACCCATCTAATTACCCTTGCATATTTCAAATGCATTGCTCGCTCGTAGGATGCCGTCATGCTGCACAGCTTCACCTTGCGGCAGCAGCTCCAGACGACCCGTCAGGAGCTGTCGCACGCTCTTTACCAACATGACGCCGCCTGCAGAGTCATCGCTCGACTCACTAAAGAGGTCACTGCTGCCAGAGAAGGTAAGGTGTTAGCATAGCACACTTGCAGCCAAGAGCTTTGGTTGATGTGGTCAGAGAATATATTTTTCTCACGGTGTTCCTGCCTACAGCTCTTGCCACGCTCAAACCCCAGGCTGGATTGGTCGCTCCTCAGGCAGTTCCTGCCTCTCAGCCTGCTGCTGCAGTAAGTCACTGACTTCAATTTCATTCAGTTAGCTGAGCAGAAAGATTTTGGGAATCTTTGCTACAAAAGTATGCATTACTGTTCTTGCAGGGAGCTGGTGGGGAGCCTATGGAGATTAGTGAAGTGGGAATGACCCCAGAGATCATCCAGAAGGTGAGACTTTCATTTCTCCACACCAACAATTTGCATATATGTTTTGTTTTTGTCCTTTTTAGTCATCTTGACATGTATTTTCTTTTCTTTTTTGTAGCTCCAAGACAAAGCTACTATCCTCACCACAGAGAGGAAGAAGGTAAGTTAACACACCAAGAAATCAGTTTTCACTGTCTGTAGTATATCTATAAAAACTGAACACTTTGGTGTGTTATTTGTTTTTTAGAGAGGCAAAACTGTACCAGAGGAGCTGGTCAGATCTGAGGACCTTGGCAAATACCGTCAAGTGGCTTCCCACGCTGTGAGTCCCAGTTTTTGTCTGCCTTTATTAATGCTTATACTGAGTTACTAGTTCTCTCTCTTCTTTACCAAGAAACAACTTAAAAACAGATATAAACTGCCATTTGCTGTTGTCAGGGTCTTCACAGTGCCAGTGTCCCTGGTATTTTGGCTCTGGATCTGTGCCCCTCAGATACCAACAAAGTGCTCACTGGTTTGTCACCTCATATTTTGTTTCCACTTTTCCATGTCGTTTAAAGTACTGTTTTGTTTTTTTTAACACCTGCCATTCATTGTTTGTTTAGGTGGAGCTGATAAGAACGTGGTTGTGTTTGACAAGAACGAGGAGCAGATTGTGGCAACTCTTAAGGGTCACACAAAGAAGGTCACCTCAGTCATTTACCATCCATCTCAGGTAATTCATCTCAGTTTTGTTGTCAACATGACTTTTTGCTTACTCCTCTATATTTACAGTTGTGTTGTTTTAAATATAATATCCTGAACCACTTTTTAACTATTCCCCTTCCCTCTCTGTTTCCCCCTCTAGTCCGTGGTCTTCTCTGCATCTCCAGACACCACCATCCGTGTTTGGTCTGTCACTGGAGGCAACTGTGTTCAGGTGGTCCGTGCTCACGACGCCGGCGTCACTGGACTCTCCCTTCATGCTACTGGAGATTATCTGCTCAGCTCCTCTGAGGATCAGGTGTGTTTGCAGCTTGAAAACAAAAAACATTTAGACTAGGAAAATGAAGTGACTTGACACTAAATTTGTGACTCTTTTTTTTTTCCAACAGTACTGGGCCTTCTCTGATGTTCAGACTGGTAGAGTGCTTACCAAAGTTACTGATGAAAGTGCTGAATGTGGTAAGTGTCCCTGTACTGATGTAGTGGTTGGAGAATCTACATGGATGTTTCAGGTGGTAATGTCTCTGTCTGCCTCTTATAGCTCTCACCTGTGCTCAGTTCCATCCTGACGGTCTCATTTTTGGTACTGGTACGGCTGACTCTCAGATTAAGATTTGGGATCTGAAAGAGCGCACCAACGTGGCCAATTTCCCCGGCCACTCTGGTCCTGTTACCTCCATTGCTTTCTCTGAGAATGGATACTATCTGGCCACAGGTAAAAGGCCCCAAAATAATTTCAGAATCATGTTAAGTTTCAGGAAGATTAAAAAAAAAGAGTTAACTGAATAAAAAAAAATTCAAACATTGATGTGAAAAATTTGGTTTGATGCTTGGTTTCAGGGGCCCAGGATAGCTCTCTGAAACTGTGGGATCTAAGGAAGCTGAAGAACTTCAAGACCATCACTCTTGACAACAACTATGAGGTGAGAAAATATGTTCTGACAAATTAAATGCCTTCAGAAAGGCTCTAAAAGATGCAGAGGCTCCAACAATTCAAAAAGGCCATTTGGAGGGAAAAAACCCGACAGGATAAAGTTTTATTCTGGACAAATGTGTTCTGCTGTTAATTAAACAGAACTCCAATAACAAAATTACCAATGTGAAATTGATTTAATCAATTATGAGGTTTTCAGCATTTCTTAAAGTGAACCTCTGTTTGATGAAGGTTTCAATCTCTTTAACTTTTCGTTTTAACTTTCTTCCAGGTCAAGTCCCTTGTGTTCGACCAGAGTGGCACCTACCTGGCTGTAGGAGGGTCTGACATCCGTGTCTACATTTGCAAGCAGTGGTCTGAGGTCCTCAACTTCACAGGTGAGGAATAAGTTTTTTTTTTCACAATCTGTTTGGTTTGCATAATTCATTGTTAGGGGCAAGTTTCTTACCTCCTCTTTTTGTCCCCTCTCTAACTGTAGACCACACAGGATTGGTGACTGGAGTAGCGTTTGGAGAGAACGCTCAGTTCCTGACCTCTACAGGAATGGACAGAAGTCTGAAATTCTACAGTTTGTAAAAAGAAAACTGTATGGAAAGGGACCAGAGAAAAGGGTCATGAGATCCGTGTCACTTTCTGGGACTCAGACTTAGCCTAAACCTGATGTTTTTAGTAAAAGAAGACAAACACAAATCAGTGCTAACTCTACTTCTTTAGTGTGTTAGTGTCACATACAGGAGGAAAAAAAAATCCCATGAAATTTACTGCTATTTGATGCACAACATCACTGTCAGAATTTGTCCTCATTAAGAATAGATGAATGAGCTGTAATGTCTCTGTTTGATTTGGCAGCAGTTGATTTTTACTGTAGTTATTATTGTTTTGTTTGTTAGTGGGTGGGTGGGACTGAAACTGTGCTAAGACTCTGATGTTGAGAATTATGTGTGGTGTGACAGTGATCTGCTTTGCTATAATATTCAAAAACTTCATCAGACTATTTGTAGGGTCAGAAGAAAATGTGTCAGAAGGTGAACAAGCAGGAGACATTTATTCCATGGTCACAACTTCAGTCTTGTTTAAATTCCCCTTTTCATTTCTTCCATTAATACCAGTGTCGCTTTTCCTCTTGTATATTCCTTGTTATTGCTTTTTACCTGTTGCACTGCTGCCCTTTTACAGTAAAATAAAATATCTTTTGTAATGCCAAATGTGTGTTAGATCAAGCAGCACAGGTGGATCGTCCAGAATAAATAAAATAAGTTTCTGTCCATCTCTAGTTTTAGACATTTTGTCAGAAAAAATGCTCAACAATCGGAGTCTGTGTGATATTTGACATTAATGCCTCATTTACAATTATTTACCCTGGGAAAAAAACAAAGATTTAGATTCTGTAGAATGAATCATGTCTTCACTCACCGTTTAACTTCAGGGTGTTATTTAAATGTTGCGTACACGTGCGAATGAGAATCTATAAAGAACTCGTTAAACCTTTCATAACTCACACTTCCACATGAGAAATCTGAGAGCAAAACACTGCTTTTCCTAAACTACTGAGTTACGTCATTGCAACATATATATTAGAACATACATTTCCACCAAGAAACACAACCTACTTTCTAAAAAAATATTTAAAAAGTACTACTTACTGTACCACTAAGCGTCTTTGCAGTGGTAGACTCTCCCTATTGAATATGTCCCACATTCGGAAAAAACGACTGGACAAACTAGATTTATAGTGTTTAGTTGCATTACCAAAATGACCAAACACCAGAGGAGGGCGCTATAGCATTCCTCTTGGCAAGGAATGAGCGCCAGCCGATCACGTGAGAGCACAATAACGTGACCCGAGCAAACGGGAAGTTGGAGTCAGGAGAACTTGTGCTCATAAACACGGCTGGTTATCTCTGGACCTCTGTCACCGGTTTGTCCGTCTGTTCTAAGCCGGACTGTCTGAAGGTCGAGCTGGGACCCGGAGCAGACAGGTGAGATGTTTGGTGTTTAGAAGCCTCGCTTTGACATAAATAAATGTGAGCTGTTTATATTCGCACCATGGAGCCACAGACAGGACAAAAGTCCGGAGCTGTTTGTAGCCTTCGGGGATTTTCCCAGTCTTAATCAACGTGGAGCGGTTGTTCATTTAATGCAATGTTCTGAGTTTAAACTGCGATTTAAAGCTGCTGTTAAAAACTTTAATCTCCCGCACATGGTGTTTCACTGAAAAATGAAACCATTCTGTTTTCATTGGACATTTAAACAGGCAATAAGACAATTAAATATCAAGGAAATGCAATAAAATTACGTTTATTCTTCAGCGCACATTCAATATGTCAAGTGTGATTAATTATTCCAATGCTATTCTATTTGTCGAAGTTAGAGCTGTGTGTTTTCAAAGTGTAACATAGTGTAAATGAAATAAAAATAAAATGTGCTTTGATCGGTGTGTATTTTTCCAGTTTTGTGCCATTTTAAATCAATTAAGTATAAACGCTTTCTGATCCTTAAATGTACATGTACGTTATAGCTTTACGGAAACGGTGTGGTATTGAAACAATGATGTGTAAGAATGGAAATCCCGTCTGATTTTCACAGGTCTCGTCGTTTCCCCTTTTTTTGTACTCTCGCAGTAATTCAGAGTTTAGCAATAGCCTCGTGATGATGATGTTATTGTTCTAAATTAGTATTTTTATTTAATATAATTTATCAATTATCTCTTTCTCTCTCTATATATATAACCAGTACTTTTAACTTCTGTACTGCTTTACCACATTTATTCCACTATTATCACATGAACAAACTAATACATTTCTTTATTTTAGTTTTTCCAGGCCAACATGGGCTCCATGTTTCGCAGTGAGGAGGTGTGCTTGGTGCAGCTCTTCCTCCAGTCCGGTTCAGCCTATAACTGCGTTAGTGAGCTGGGAGAACTGGGTCTGGTCGAGTTCAGAGACGTGAGTCTTTCATGTTCAAGTTTAATTCAGATTAGGAGAATTCAACCAGTGGACTGTACCATACAGTATGTACCAGATCAGTGCCTTGAAAGTCATCATCAGACCTTCAGAGATAGTTCAGGGTAATTATTGCTTTGAGTCAGCGCGATCACGAGTGACAGTTTTCTTCCTTCTTCTCTGACATCTGATTTTAGTTGAATCCAAACGTGAACGCCTTTCAGAGGAAGTTTGTTGGGGAAGTGCGACGGTGTGAAGAACTGGAAAAAACCTTCAGTAAGTCTTTGGTACAGGTTGTTCTCCCATTTATGGTTCTTGTTTTTAGAGACAGTATTTTGCTCTTCTTCATCTGCCTGCGTGTCTTAACAACCTCTACATCTTGTCCTCCAGCTTTTCTAGAGCAGGAGATCAATCGCTCCCTGAACCCACCATTGCAGGGCCCCCTCCTCCCACCATGCCCGGCACCTTTTGCACCTCAGCCTCGTGAACTCATCACCATAGAGGAAGAGACCGAGCGTCTGTCCAGAGAACTTAAAGAGGTCAGAGAAACTCTGACAACAAATCACCATTAAAAAACAAACAAACAAGGATTTTCTTTTTAACTGAATGTCTTCTGTCTCACCAGGTGTCCAAGAATCGAGACAGCCTTCGGGCTCAGCTGACTCAGCTGTGTCAGTACAAAGGTGTCCTCACCAGAACGCACACCCTTACAGCCTCCCAGGTTTGTTATGAAATACATTTTCTCCTGCAGTTTTTCAAAAGAAGAATTTTAGAGCTATGAATCACTCTGCAACATTATTGGACTCTCTTCACAGGCTCCGCCTCCGGTGCTGGAGAGCCACGGCCTGTTTGATCAACGCCAAGATGTCCACCTGAGGTAAAAATTAATTTAATTAGTGTGTATTTTCTAAGTGGACATTATAATATGTGGGGAAAAAAGGGGGAAAATAGTACTGTAAAATAATGTAGCATGTAATTTTTAATTATATTACCAATACATAGAGTTGGTATTTTATAATTAATATTATAGTCTATTGGTTCTCATGTTACGTCATAGTAAAAAATATAAAAGCATAAAAAATTTAATAAAACATAATAAAAAACACATCCTTTTTCCAGTTTTGTGCCAAAAACTTTTGTGCAGAGTTCAAGTCTGCAACAGATGTTTCAAATGTTTTCTTTATTTATAAAAAATAAAAATGATCAACCTCTGTTTGTTTATTTGTCTTGATCATCGTTGCTGCACTCTTCATTAGTTTCGTGGCAGGAGTTGTCCATCCGTGGAAGGTTCCGTCATTTGAACGCCTGCTGTGGCGAGCATGTCGCGGTTACATTATTGTCGACTTCAGGGAAATGGAGGATCGGCTGAAGCACCCGGACACGGTGAGGAGGTTTCTGCTGATCATCCATGACTGTGTTGTTGTGTTCCAGAAAGTCTTCCTGCTTTGTCGCATTTCTAGTCCTGCCTGATGTGTGTCTAATTAAAACTTCCTTTCTCTTTATCTCAGGGGGAAATGGTGCAATGGACAGTGTTCCTCATTTCTTACTGGGGAGATCAGATTGGACAGAAGGTGAAGAAGATCTGTGATTGGTGAGTTCATTTATACATCGGTTTGATTTCCACACCTGCAGTGTTGTTGTTCAACTTGCAGACATTTATTTTTTGCACATTTTTCCTGTTGTAGTTTCCACACACAGACATTTGCATATCCTGAGAGTCCCACGGAGAGGGAGGAGATTCTCCAGGGACTGCAGGGACGAATCGAAGACATTCAATCGGTGAGTGTTTTGTCAGACATTTGTCGAACATTTGACCTTCTCTTGTTCGATTTAATGCTCAGTATTTCTTGCTTCGACTTCCAGGTACTGTCACAGACGGAGACCTTCCTGCAGCAGATACTGATGCAGGTCGTGGCCGTGCTGCCCCAGTGGAAGGTCCGGGTTCAGAAGTGCAAGGCCGTCCAGATGGTACTGAATCTCTGCAGCCCCTCCGTCACTGACAAATGTTTGATCGCCGAGGCCTGGTGTCCTGTCGCCCAGCTGCCAGAACTGCAGAGCGCTCTGAGAGAGGGAGGGGTGAGGAAACACTGGAGAGGGGAGGAGATTAAACATCATGTTTTTTTTCCTCTCTTGACTAATATATTTTTTTTCCCACAAAGGGAAGGGGGGAGGTGGTGTCGACTCTTTCTATAACCGCCTGCCGTCCTCCACCTCTCCACCTACATTGTTTCCAATCAACTCTTTCACAGCAGGTTTCCAGAGCATCGTCGATGCATATGGAGTGGCCACATATCGTGAAGTCAATCCAGGTTTGTCAGCGAGCTGTCACAAAGTTCCTTAGTTGTTATTGTCAAAGGAGAATAAGAAAATGTTACACGTCGGTACCAGCTGCTTTTTAGTGCAGTGTAATACACTTTAAATCCTGAAGTATATTTAAAAACAACAATCCTGTAACTCGTGCCAGGTCTCACCTGTATTGTAATTTATTTTGTCTCTTCCTTCCTCTACAGCGGTATACACCATCATTACATTTCCTTTCCTGTTTGCGGTGATGTTTGGTGACGTGGGTCATGGTATACTGATGACGATGGCTGCCCTCTGGATGGTTCTGGAGGAGAAAGACCCTAAACTCAAGAAAAACAACAATGAGGTTTTTTCTTTTATGTCCTCACATGAGATAGAGCATATATGATTTTTTGTTTGTTTGTAAACAGTACTCTTTTACACACCCAGACAAGATCTGTGCAGACAGTGACCCCAGTGTAAAAGACTGTAAAGTCATTTCTTTTGTATAACCCTATAATTTATTTCTTCATTTAGTTACATCTTTCTCTCAGTTTACTAATAATAATGCTACTAATTATAATAAATGAATGACTTAATTATAAGTTGGTTTGTAAAATAAGGTCTAAAACAGTAGTTGAGTTTCAGTCAGGCATTTAAAGATGTTTTTAAAATGTTGGCTCCCGTAGTGTAGTGAAGTGGACTTTGACCTTGCACTGAAATAAAATCCTGTTTTTGTTCCAGATCTGGCGGATGATGTTTGGAGGACGGTATCTGATTCTGCTGATGGGACTCTTCTCCATCTACACAGGAGCCATTTACAACGAGTGTTTCAGCCGAGGCCTCACCACCTTCAGCTCAGCGTGGCACGTCGGCCCCATGTTTGAGAAAAACCTGTGGAAGTGAGCGACACTCATGAGTGCAGTGTTCTACAGTGCTTCATCTTTGCTCCATCTCACCTCCATGTCCTCTCTTCCAGCTCATCAGTCCTTGCAGGAAACGACTTCCTGTCCATGGATCCTGTCGTACCCGGCGTCTTCACCAGCCCTTACCCCTTTGGCATTGACCCTGTTCGTCCATCCTCCCTCCTGACGTCTGTACTTAATGTTCTCTATCCTTCAAGTGTGTCACTGTGTTCACACTGGTTCTCTCTCTCTGTGTGATTGACAGGTTTGGGGGATGGCCAACAACAAACTTTATTTCCTCAACTCGTACAAGATGAAAATGTCCGTCATCATCGGCGTCATCCACATGACCTTTGGTGTCTGCATGTCTTTTTTTAATTACTTGTAAGTAATTGCAGATAATAAATTAATATGGCATGCCAGTCTGCTCAGTATTAGATTTAATTAAATTAAAATTTAACGCATTTTAATTCCTGAGAAGAATGATACTATACACGCTACAGAACTCCAACATAAGTCAAGGACCCCAGGTTTTAGTTTCACTAAAGCACTTCATGCTTAAAATAATATCTCAGCTTCAGTTTATGATACAAAGCCTGGATTGTGTCAGCTTGCTACCCTGTGATTAATCAGAATAAAGATGTATAAGGTTTGACAGTGCTAATAATTTAGAAACTCCGCCCTCTTCTTGTCTTCTCCAGACACTTTGGTCAGGTGAGCAGTATTTTCCTCGTGCTGATCCCAGAGCTGTTCTTCATGATCTGTCTGTTCGGTTACCTCATCTTCATGGTGATCTTCAAGTGGATCGCCTACAGTCCAGATCAGTCCAGAATCGCTCCCAGTGTTCTGATCCACTTCATAGACATGTTCCTCTTTGCAGAAAATCTAGACAATCCTCCTCTGTACAGGGGTCAGGTACGTGGTTTGATCGTCAGTCGCATCTGTTAAATTAATATAAGAATTAATTACATTATTATGTTCATATAATAGTATAGTTTTGCACAAACACCAAATAGTTGGTCTTTTATGCTCAACTTGGAAGGAAAAAAAATGGAAATTGGAATCAAATAAATAAATAAATAGCTCTGTGTCCTCTTTGGGAGACCTGTCTCCCACATTGGAAACCACTGGCACACAGTAATAATGACATTTTTAGTATAATTTTCACAACCGTTAAGTAAAGGTAAGATAACTGTAGTTAATCATAAACGTGAGACTCTGCAAAAATCTGCTGAACAAAAGTCTCGACATCCAATTTTTAAAAATCAGCCTGTGTCAGCAGCTGTTCTCCCCTCACTCTGTGTCTGTCTGTGTAGATGGTGGTGCAGAAGGTCCTGGTGGTCCTGGCTCTGTGTTCAGTCCCTGTGCTCCTTCTTGGGAAACCACTGCACGAATACCTCACCTTCAAGAGGCGACGACCTTTCGTGGTGAGTCTGTGTTAATCCTTCAGCAACATTGGAGCTCCATTTTTCTTTTTATTTATCTATCTCCTCTGTCTTTTTTTTTTAAACTCTTTGTTTACAGGATGAAGAGAGGCGTGTGCTGGTGACTTCGGAGGAAACCTCCATTAACACTCATCAAGGGGAGGTGGAGGGAGCAGCTGAGGAGGTGATGGAGGAGCACATGTGACTTCATTAGCCAAGCTGATCACATTCAGTTGGATGTTTTCTGGTGTTTAATTGTTTAAATGCACTTCCTGTGTCGTCTCGCTCCAGTTTGACACTGCAGACGTCTTCATGCATCAGGCCATCCACACCATAGAATACTGCCTGGGCTGCATCTCCAACACCGCCTCCTACCTCCGACTATGGGCCCTCAGTCTGGCCCACGCACGTTAGTCTTTTTTTTTCTTCATCCGTTCGTGATGTTTATTCTTACACAGTCAGACAGACTTCCTTTAAAATGGGAGCTCAGTTTTTCCATACTGTATATTTTTAGCCCATTATTCATGGCTGTGTCAGTTTTCCAGCTGATGATGTAACAGTGAGCCGTGTGCTTCCACAGAGCTGTCAGAGGTCTTGTGGACGATGGTGATGCGTATTGGCCTGAAATGGCAGGGCTACACGGGGTCGGCAGTTCTCTTTGTAGTCTTTGCCTTCTTTGCTGTGTTGACCGTCTCCATTCTGCTGGTCATGGAGGGTCTGTCAGCGTTTCTCCACGCACTGCGTCTGCACTGGTAAGAATAAGACAACAAAGGGAGAGAGCAGTGATGTTGTTCTGTTTCATTGTGGAGGACAGTTCAGCCAGAGCTGGTGCTTCTTTTGTCTGTTCTCTAAAGAAACACAGGTCCCTCAGGTGAAATATGATTGCACTAGAAAAGGAGAAACAACTGCCAATGTTACAAATAACCTAAAAAACACACAGTAAAACAGGTCAGATACTGTACTGCCTAGAGCAGGGGTGTCAAACATGAGCCCTGTGGACCAAAGACTGGACAATCCTAATTTGATTAAAACATGGCTATGGCATGGCAGTATTGTCATGTTGTACATTACAAACAGCCCAGGCTGCCTCTTGCAAATACTATTTTCTGTCGACTTTAGTTTTATTTTCTCATCAACGTTAGTCAATTGATGACACAAATACACTTCCTGTATGTTTCCTGTATAACAAATTCATTATTTTTTCATTGTCAGATGTGCACTTCACAGATGTCACTAATCCAAATATTTTCCCATACTTGCTCAAAAACTCACAAAAACACAATGTTGCAGAATATTAAAACTAATAAGTAAGTTAGTAGTATATGTAAGTGATTGTGGGGTTGGAACATTACATGAGAAGACTAAAAAGAGTTCCTGCACTGACCGTCTCTGTCTCTTGCAGGGTGGAGTTTCAGAACAAATTCTACAGTGGAACAGGCTACAAACTGAGTCCCTTCTCCTTCTCTGCTCTGATCAATGTGTCTGCTGCGTTATGATCAGCTAAATGGATTAGTACTTTCCAATGGTTCACATTAAATTTTGTCTTGAGCAGTTGGACTGCATCTTGAAAAAAATGCCTGTGTCTTAACAATGATGTTCTACTAACTGTAGACAATATTTAATTGACTTGCACATAGTTCTGCAAACACTGTTATTTTTGCATCAGTATCATAAGAATTAGCCTGTTGTTTAATTCCAATTACATTATGAAATGAAAATGACGTTGATGTTATTTTAATTCTACTTTATCTATTGTTTTCAATTTACTCTCTACAGCTATAAAGATAAATAGAAAAACATTTAAAAGCAAAGTTATTAAAAAGAATGATAATGAATGGATGAATAAATTTACTCTGTAGTTTACACACACATGCGATTGCTGGGTTGGAACATTTCACTTTCATCAGCTTGTGCTGTAGGATCATTTCATATCAGAAGGGAATAACAAATAAGGTGTTTAAGAGCCAATGGTACTTTCACAGTCAATGCCACGTCTTCCAAGAACAATTCCCAGCAGGTATTTGGTGGTAGTTAAAACGTTAAAAGTTTTTATGTGCCTTAATGAACCTGAGTGTTTATTCATTTTGCCTTTTGGATGAATAGTAATCCAGCGCTGTGAACAAAGTAACTGAACATGTTTTTGTTTTGTCCTGCCGATTTGCACTGTAAAAATCTGAAATGCAATTAAAAATGGTTTTCTTGATTCATTTTGATTTTAATGTTTACAAATATATATATATATTTTACTTTGGAATATATATATGAGGAAACACAGGGCAACATATATTTTTGGAATCGGCTATAAATGTGACAAACGAAGAGTGAAATGTAAATAATTGGTGTTACGCTTTGCATGCAAATCGTGCATGGGAAACAAAAGTGTGTAAATTATTACATTAGAAATTGCCTCAAGGAAAATCAAGGGAATTTTCAGTTCATATCAAACTCGTGCTGCCCCTTGTTTCTATCAGTACTGCTTTGAAGGTGACACCACGTGAACCGGAAGTGTTGTGAATGTCAAAGATGGCGTTTGACATGTTTTAGTGACACATTATCAGGCGATACTTTCCAAACAAACGCTGGTGTGGATATCGATCGTTGATTTTTTTTTTAGTAATGAACTGAATTAAAGCAAAATGGCTCTAAGTGAATTGAATCGCTCAGTGCGATTGTTTTTTACTCAAATCCAACGATGTCGCGTCGCTGCAAACCAAAGTAAGTTCCGCAAGTCATTTCCATTACACGCCGCATATAGTTATAATGTCAATTGTTATTGTAGAGATTTATGTGATGTGTATGAACTCACGGGGATTAACCTCCGTTTGCATATGTCCTGTTCCCCAGTCCGGTGTATGAACCAGGCAGCCTGTCAACCGCAGCCTAGTCCAAATGAAAACGAAGCAGTGAACCCGACCTTTGAGAACAGGAACCCGCGGAACCTGGAGTTCATGGCTCTGGCTGTGAAGGACCGGGGCTGGAAGACGACGTGGCCCCACAGAGAGTTTTACCACAGGTCAGTGGAGAGATAAGATGCCCGAATGTCAGTATGAATATGAGATTATACAAACAAACGCTAACATATTTTAAGGAATTGTCGCAGAAAATGATATATTTCAGCCAAAATAGTAAAAAAGAAATTTATATTTACGTAGCAAAAAATGATAAATACATTTATCTTTGAATAACTCCATAAAATTGCCTCGTTCAAGACAACATACTGTAGGGGATTGCAATGTGTAATAACAACTGTTTTGTCAACTAAAAAAAAAAGAAAAGAAAGTGATTGCTCTTAGTCAAAGTTATTTATTGCTCTACAGGTTGGTGTTCTCCCGCACCCAACATTACGTGACGGCACAAGTGTTTTCCAGCAGCTCCCCTGTCCCAGTGCTGACTTGTTCCACCAAAGAGTGGGCTCTGAAGAAGGAGCTGACGTCCACAAGAGCTGTGGCAGCGTGCCAAGCTGTGGGTGACGTTCTGGCACAGCGATGCCAACAGGCTGGCATCACAAGGATGGTGTACAAAGCCATACCCTGGACATTTCGCTCAGATGCTGTAAGTAGCAACTGCAAAAACTGATGTAAATCAAAGAAGTGTTTTGCTCAAAATTACCTGCGTTAACTTGGGGGGTTTATTTCTACAGGTCCAAGCATTTAGGGCTGCAATGAAAGATGGAGGAATTACACTCAGTGAACCTAGAAGAAAATATATTGGGACCTAAGTTTTGTTGTCATTATTTGTTTTTTACAAATGTTGTGTGTAACTAATCCTCTGTTGTGAATTATGACTGTACTGATGTAAAGCTGACCAGCAAATGTTGGCTCTTTTACATTGTGGATAAAGTGTTTCTGAACATAAGCGATGAATAAATCAGGAAACAAAATCACAGGTGTGAAAATAGGTATTTATTTTGTCATATTTTCAACAGGAGTGATGTGCAGACAGAACAAAGCCTCATTCAGACGTGTAAAAGATTTGATCATAGCACAGTGACTTTGGCTCAGCAGTGGGAACAGTGTGTTGTGATGATATAAAGTGCATGGATTTTGCTGTTTTCGTTTTCTTTTAACTGTGATCCAGCAGATTTACAGAGAGCTGAGGCTTGTCTTCATTGCATACATAAAAAACAGCAGGAAATCATGTGACATCAACATCACATGATCAGAAATCTAAAAGAAATGTACTGAATAACTTATCCATTGAAATTCCACGTAAATACATTGGAATGTTGCTTTAACAGGCAGGTAGAAAACACACGACACACATACACCCAAGTTCAGCATTTACGTGTTGGTACATAAACTGTTTAGACACACATGCATACATGCAAATTCATATATACTGCAAAAAATACAGGTGAAAGTGAGTAATCTTAAATCACCACAGAATAATACAGTAAAAATACAGCTGATAGAATTCATTCTCAGACTTAAGGCACTGAAAAACACCTGCTGTTTAAATACAGTCAAAAACTAAACTTGAACTCTGTAAAATCATTGGCACGCTGGGAAAAAGTAGTTTGGCAAAAAAAGGCTGATGCTGTAAAACTGGCCTGGACTTGGTTCTTAAAGCTACAGAAGAGGATCAGAGAGTTTAACATGTCTATTTTTAAACTTAGAATTATGACTTTAAGTCATTTTTCTTCATGTAGAATTATGAGACTTGGATTGGAATTGTGATTTTTCTATGAATCCAGAGATTTAAGTTTTGACATTACCTTTAAAATTAACATTAGAGTACAGGAATGTGGAGTTCTGAGTGAAGAAAAGAATTTTTTTTTTTTTGTATTCTGTGAAGTAAATTTTAACTTAACTATTAACTCAAAAATGTCAAGTCCAACATAAAAACCCAGGTGACTCTAATCCTCCTCTGTAGTAAAATCCTCCATTCTGTTGTCTTTAATAACCATCTGATATAAAAAAAACAAAAGTTTTGAAAATTCTCTACCTCTGATTGGCTGCTTTAGTTTAAAAAGGACAGTAGAAGAACCAGAGTTGCATAGATACCCTCTACAGAGAATGAGAGCTGAAGAAGTGAGGAGGTAAAGGATATTCCAATAGAGGGCGCTACAGGAAACTTGACTAGAAGGTGTGTGTGTTTGTCTGTCAGGATGTGTTCTAAAAACATTTAACAGCATGGATATGTTCTTCTGGTTCTCCATGAAAAAGGACGCTCAGTTTTTTAAACGGAACCGCTGCTAAACAACCTTCAAATGTGTAAAAACATCGGCAGCGGCGGTTGAAACAATGTTGGAAGGCTTCGCGTTTGTATTGAAAAGTGTGAGCTTCCTCATATCAGTCACCTTGACAGGAACCTCCTCCTCAACGCTGTCTTTTTAGGGTTTATTCTCGTCAGTCGCAAGCAGGCAGCGAGGCTCAGGTGAAACGTCCACACATGCATTCTGGTGAGTCAGACTTCGGCGGCCTTGGCTTCGCCTTCTTTGTTGTGGTGAGCGCCTCGGGCTACCGGGAAGCTAATAGGGAAAACATAAGGTTCAGCGTTAAATAGTAGCCGACAGCTAAAACATTAGCACGTGATAGAGCTCATCCAGTAATTTAACGAAAAATGAATCTACGTCACAAATATACGAGATTAGAGTTTTAAATGTATATGAATAAAGTCACAAATACACAGGAATAAAGTTGTTAATTTATGAAAAATAGGTCATACCTTTACGAAATTAAAGTCGCACAAATTAACGACATTACTTTACTGATATATTTCCGTACCTGCTCATGTTCTTTGTCTTCATCGTCCAGTTCACTGATGGACTGCATGAGGGAGAGGAGGTTCATTCTGCCGCTGCGGTTAACACTTGGTACAACCTGGAGGTGAGGCAGAGAGAACGGGGACACAAGAATTTAGGAATTGAACTTGCTGTGTCCACCTTTGTCACCCCCTAAGGGGAGACCACCACTCCCCACGTTGGCAACCCTGGCTCTAATTAATTACCTATATCTTGAAAACCATACACACCAATTATGATCTATTTTAACTACAGCCACAAATACAAAAAAAATTCTATAATAATTAAAAATATACATTATATTTACTGTAGTTGAAAAGCCAACACACAGCACAGTATTTGCAGTCACACACCTTTTCAGGTTCTTGTACAGTTATGGTTGGGGGGGCTCCTGCTGCTCCAGGATCTCTAGTTGCGTCAGACCTACAGTCGAGATCTTCAAAGACCTGTTTGTTTGAAAAGAGTCGTAAAACAAAAGCCCCACAATATTTCAAAGTCTTATCACTGTGACTTGTCACCTCTCCATCTTTTTCAATCGGACTCTCTTCATCCTCCTCCTCTTCTTCTTCTTCTTCTTCTTCTTCCTCCTCCTCCTCTTCTTCTTCCTCCTCATCATCATACAGTCCCTCATCCTCCTCTTCCTCCTCCTCTTTCCCATTTCGCTCCTCCCCTTGACTTCCTTTCTCCTCTTTGCTGAGAGACTTTTGTCTCAGGTCTTTTGACTTTCTCCTCCAGAGGGCACTGTGACGCTGCTCACTTTTTATGAAGTAAAAAGTACAAAATTAAACAAAACCCTTATCCAATTAACAGAAACCAGGAACATTCAGTTATATTTCTGCACATGTCTGGCCTGACCTTGCGTTAAGGATGCCGTTGTAGGTCTGCAGCTGCTTCATGAAGCCGTCGTTGGGATGGATGATGGCTCGTCGCTCCCTAACGTAGGACAGCGCCACATCCAAGGGCCAACGCAGCTGCTTCATGGCGTAGGCGATCACGGTTGATGCAGAGCGGGAAATGCCCATTTTACAGTGCACCAGCACTGCCTGTCCACTTTTCCTGGAATAGATAAAGAGAGACAAACTGTGTCGTAAGTGAATGAATGTACCGACACCAAAAGAGCTATTTCGAAAGACATACAGACCATTTTAATGATGGCAGAATTGCAGCATATAAAGTAGTAAAGAGTGACAGTGACATTATTTGTGTAACCTCTTTTTTTTAATATACAGGTCAGAAAACCAATCCAAGGATCCTTCAAATCCATGTGTCTCAGGAGCCACAGGTTGAATACCCCTGGGCTAGGTAAGGAATTAACTACCTTGCGTTGTTGATGAATTTATATGTATTTGTCCAGTAGGGGAGCAGGTCGGTGGATTCCACATCATACACTCTGATGTTCATGTAACTGAAGGAGTCTGGGAAAAAGTTGTCGATCTCTCTGGTCACATTCAGGATGTAGCCGACACTGAAAAGCACACAGAGACAAAGTTAGGGCTTTCACGTTGACACCATTTACTTTTATGTGACACAGATTTGAGCGAACCCTGTAGGTCTGAACACTTACTTGTTTTTCTGCAGCTCCTCAAAGTTGGCAGCATTCCATTCAGAGCCCTGACAATCAAACCAGAGAAGAGACGGTCACTGAGGGAACCAACCAGAGGAGGAAGGAAGGATGGCTTTTAAAACCGTCCTCACAACCAGTGGCATCACATTTCTTAAAAGGGGAAGTAACACTCACATAAACCTCTTTATAAGATCATTTCCTCTAATATAACCACCAAAAATAAACATTGTCTTCTCACCATGGTGAAGACCTTAAAACAAACCCAAAAAACCCATACAACCGTAAATGAAAGCAAACAAAACTAACCAGATAAAGATAGTCGAATATTTTAGAGGGTTTGTCCATCTGAGCCATGGTGACCATGATCTCATTATCAATGTACTCTTTGTAAAGTCTCACGTCAAAGCCGATCCTGGTCTCCAGTGCGGTTTTCACCTACAGCAGGACAGAACAAACATGTTCAACGGTTTCTTTTTCGACTTTTAAACAACCATTTCATTTCTCATTTCCACGTGTCTCACCATCTTTGACGTGAGGTTGTCCAGGTCCTCCGTCCTCATAATGTCTCTCAGGTGTTCTTTGATGAGCACCTCCTTAGAGAATCTGTCCTCGGAGCTTTAGGCAATAACAAAGAAAATGTAAACTTCAGGACATGAGCACTTAAACCAGGCATGCAGCCACAAATACGCGGGGGCCAGATGTGGCCCATTTGGCTCTTTAATCCGGCCCATACAATTTGTTATTAATTTCTATTATCATACTTCTGCCTTTTCCATGCAATGTCTGCATTTCCCTAATAGAAGGCATAGAAAAGGCTAAAAGCATTTTAGCAGCCCACACCTGGCTTTTAATGTGGCACTACTAAGGCAAATTAGTGCAAATTTTGATTTTCTTCTTTATTTGCACGATTGTGTGGAAACTGCATTAATATATAATTGTATTCTCTTTGTTCAATGTAATACCAGTTGTGTAGAAATTACAAAGTTTTATATGAACTTCAGTGAAGTATTGAAGCAGCAGCAGTGAATGGTTTAATGTGGGAAGGGGGCAACAACTGTTGGATTTATACAAAAATCAAACATTTTAACATGGGTAATTTCCAAGCCAAGGCAGAGATATAAGGAACGTGTTGGTGATGGTTTTAGCTTCTTTATATTTAACAATGTTATTGACTTTATCGCGTGACGTGAAGTCACCAACCAAATGATGTTTACCTGAGTCCAGCCATGTCCTTGCGGACTGAGGCCAGGTCGTCCATGATCTCCCACTCATTGAGGCAGAAGCGATCAGACTCAATGTGTTTGTTGTAGTGTTCCACCCACTCCAGGCCAGACCCTGGGATCACAGCTGCTTTAACTGCCCGCTCACAGCAGCCGTGTAACGACTGCAGCACTGACCTTACATCAGTAGTGGAGGAGGACATGTGAGTGACATGTGATCTGCTAGACATCTTGACAACAAGCTCTGTTCCTACATTATTGTTTGACTACTTCTACTTACCACATAGTCTGCATGGAGATGGGCTTAAAAATCCTGGTGTCCACAGCTGATGTCACACTGAAACCACTGAGAGAAAAAGTTACTTCTTTAGTTTTACATCTTCTTCTGAACATCAACAGCCAAAGGGCTGCATCATGTCACATGACTACTACAGTCAGTACTTGCTGACACCAACATTATTTTCCTCCTTCAATGACTGGCAGTTAGAGCAGAGACCGTGTCTTCCATTTTTACATTAAACCCGTCACTGTTCGCAGTATTTCTTTTGGCTGATGTTAGTGGAACAAGAAGGGCTTTAGTGGAGCCTTTCACAGCCGTCACCAGGCAGAGGCGGGTGCAGTTTGCCAGCCAATCAAAAGGCTTCTGGTTCTGTTGTGTTTGGTCAAAGTATTTAGCGAAATTGTAGTAAATGGGGCCATGCGCCATTTTGAGCTGTTGCTTGGCAACAGAGCATCACCTAAGGTCTGTCCAGTATCTCCTTAAATCATATTTGATTGGCCTGCACAATAGTAGTAGTAGTAGTAGAAGTTGTAGTTGAAGCAGTAGTTGTTGTTGTTTCTGTAGTAGTTACATATTTTTAAAAATATACTTAAAAGGTTATATATTGGCCTTGATAAAATACTTTATAAAACATAACATTAATCCAAACCATTTAATGTTTAACAAAAGTAAATAAACAACTTGAAACACTTTGTCAGTTATTAAAGTGATATTATAGAAATACCTTTCTAGGATTTAAAAAAAAAAAAATCAGCTCCTGACACAACTTCCTTATCAGACTTTACTTTCACAAATATGGTATTAGAGTGAGAGAGTGAATGTGACTGAGGCTCATGTAATTTATTGGGAGTGACTCAACTCCACAAATAGCATCATCATTACTCAATCTCATTATTCCTGGCCTGAATCCCAGACATCTGACTGCACAGTCTGTGCTGTTGCTGCCTCATTTCTGTGCATTTTTAATTCCAAATCTTTATTCAAAGTGTTCCTGTACTTTCAGATGAATCTTACCCATCTCCATCCAAATAGACCTGGGTGTCACTCCACACTGGCATGACCAGACCGATGGTACACTGATCACTGCGAGGAAACAGAGACACGGTAAAAAACAGTTAGATTTGAAGTGCCAAAGCCAACGCAGGCTGTGTTACATGAGTGGAAACCCACACCGCAGCAGCGTTCTGGTTACACACACCTGTCTGTATTGGGGAAATCCATACCCAGCAGGACGCTCTCGTGTTTTCTGCCGAGGGTGGAAACGACAATCAGATACCGGACTCTGACAGGGTTCAGAGACTCCAACTGCACGGCCTGTAAGACAGAGACAGATGAGACTGTGTGGGACAGAGAGGACGATGCTCTGTAGACACAGGTTACTTCACTGCTCCAGTCTGGACTTGTCCATTTATATCGATAGAACTGGCTGAATATGAAGAAAACACAACATCTGTGTTGACTTTTTTTTGTCTTGTCGAGAAAATCACATCTGGGAGTTGGTGTTATCTTTGGAGCTAAACACAGACATTTCTGTGAACTACTTAAAAAGGAAAAGTCCTGACTTGTGTGTTTTTTTTTTCTGGAGAAAACATGTTTTGAGTTTTTTTTTTTTTAAATCTAACTGTTTATTTTCCATCCAAACACCTTGAGAGCTTACCTCTCATTTTGTAATTTATCACATGTGTACCATGAGATGAAGACAAAGAATATTTAAAAACTTTTTCAACCCGAGATGGAAAACCCACTTTGGTTGAATCAATATTCAGTGTAAATTAGTGACAGTTTCCATGAACAAAGTGAGGTAACAGCTTTTTGTTCAATAGAAATGACGTGAATCCTAGATAAAAAAACTGTGACTGTTCCATATCTGGTGTCAGAAAAACAGCATGGCATATATTCAGTATAATTAGTTCAGTTTGCAGCAGACAGACAGAAATACAAGGAGACAACTGCCGTGTTCTACAGAAGTGTCCTTCAAAGAGTCATTAGTGTCATATGTTTGCACTCTGTATCAGATGTGTTTCAGCTGACTGTCCCCCCTGTGTGAAACTGTCAACTGTGTATTTAACTACAACAGTAATTGAGAAGACTATGTGTGTGTGTGTGTGTGTGTTTATATTTATTTAGTGTTTGTGTTGTTTTCTGTTTCCAGTCCAACTCACAAAGATGTTATTATGGTTTGTTCATGTTATTGGAGAAACAGTGTTTTCGACTGTACTTTTTGTGTTTTTCCTCACAGGTCGTGAGGTCATCTTTTGACAATCTCTGAACCAGCAGCCCAACACCAGTCCTCACCAGCTGAATTGTGTCTTCAGGCCTCAGCTGTTCGATCATAGCCTGCAAGTGTCTGTGCCGCATGTTCGACGCTCCACTGGACTTGACCGGAGAAGTTACTGTAGGAGAAGTTTCTCCACGATGTTCCTCACCCTCACCCCCCTCCAGAAGAAGCACCGCTCCTTTCACGAGGGCGAAGCTCTCCCTGCAGTCACAGAGAGACAGACAGGTAATTTTCCGACATTCTTGAACGATTCTGGGGGGGACTAATATGAGCAAGATCTGTACCTCTTCTGGAGTCTCCCTCTTCTCTGCAAAGTTTCATCCTAAAAAAAGAAGAATCAGAATACAGGCTCATAAGGAGTGACACAGGCTGCATCAAACCATTCTTCATCCCTCAGATGTAAATTGTTAAAATGCATACTTATATGTAACGTAGAGTAAACAACATTGATGATATTTTGAAAAATTGTAATGACAACCTTGTGCAGCTAAATGTGAATAATTTCAGGAAATAAAAATTTCAGAAAAATATTATTAAGATCATCAACTCTATAAGACTTCATGTCACTTGTCACAAACATTAAGAACTGTGGGAAGCAGTAGTGGCAGCATGTGTGATGATTTTCCTGTGGCTACAAAAATGTCCAGAAAAAACAAAACAACTGCCCGTTTGCTCTGTGGCAGCGAAATGTGGTGCAACACAGATAATGTGCAGTGGAAAATGGACACAGAGAGTGATGTGTGGGTAAAAGGAAGGAAATTGACACAAGAATGGAACTAAGGCAGCGATATGCAGTGAGTGAGTCAACAGAAGGAGAAAACAAGACATAGAGTAGAAATTCAATACAGAAGAAGGGGAAGGGGAAGGGGAAAACGGGTGAGACGTGGAAGGAGAACACACAGTATCTTTACCTGTTATGCAACTGACAAGTCCAGACAGAGCGGAGAGAAAAAAACAACTGAGATGTAAGAGGAGATGAGGGTGGGAGCTAGGAGCAATGAGAAATTAAAAAAAAAAAGAGAAAGCAAAGAGTGATTAGATCATGTGGCAAAATATGTAAAAATAAGACTCGGACGCACAGTCAGAGGAGAGGATTCAAAGTAAACTCACAGCTTTGTGATAGTGACATGCAACAAACAGCGAGAGAAATAGTTAAACATTTAACATTCAAGCACTGATTCAACCACTCAGAGTAATCACTCTGTTAAATATGAAGCGATACATTTATTTGTCCTGGAAGTGGGTAGGTGATCTCGTCACGCGAAAAAAAATATAAACAACAAGCTAAATCCATTACTCTGCATTTGATAGAAAATTGTTGTACAAACACATTGTTGTGAAAATGCAGTGACTCACTGGAGCAGTAGAGCAGAGAGACGGATTCCTGTGCAGGGTCAACAGAGCCATTGCATTAAACCTCCACTAAAGCTGTGTTGCCTAACAAGCTCAGACAGGCTCTGCAGGTTCCTCAGCCAGTAGTGTGCAGTGGCAGCGGGTGGGGTAAATAGTGGTGCTTTTTACCTGAAATAACAAGTGCAGGTTTATGAATGGACTACATGTATGAAACTGGATCATCAGCGGATTTGCTTTTGCACGACTTTTCCACTTCTTACAAAAGAGTCTAAAGACTTTGTGCAGTGCAGTTTAACACTTATTTGTACCGTGACTCATGTGACCCCAAATACTCACATGATACAAGACTAGACCAAATGCTTATGTAACATAAAGGAATGATGTGTCGACATTCCCACTAGTTTTACATGAAATCATATCCCTCCATTTGCGCAATGATGTTGGTGCATAAATACACTTTATATTATTTAAATTGCTGCTTAAGTGGAGTGTAAACATGTCTTGCAGATATAGAAATTAAAAGTCAAAGCATTACTGCAAAGAAAAAGAAGAAACAAACAAAATAGTTATGTAGCATAATAGCATACGTAGCATGCTTATGGTAAGAGACATATTAAATAATGCATTAAAGTCGCTCATTGTTGAGGTAAGGATAAACGCTCACTGCTACTCTCCCATAATATAGAAAACAGCATAAATGCACATTATATAGTTTCTTACTTATATAGGCCAGACACAGTTAATCACTGTCACAATGGAACTATTTCACTGCCCACTGTTCACTTTGGTGATGGGTTAAAAACAGAGGTCACATTTCGTTGTGTGCAGTGGTGTGCTGTGACAATGACACAAATAGTTCACTTTCCTTCCTAGAAAGATTAACACATACTGTTGCTGTCCTCCAGTCTGAACTGGTGGTGTTATTTTTCAGAATTAATGAAAAAAACACATTTGTGAAATCAAAAGTCAACTTCCTCTTGGGTTTAAAGATACAAAAACAGGTTTATTTAATCAATACCCGTGTGCTAAAGAGGTCGATTGGAATTATCTCTGCTGTTGTATTTATATTTTTGTAGATTAAAGTTTTATTTATTTATTTATAAAGTCTCATTTTTAAGGACCAAAAATAAGGAAAACAGAAGAGGGCGCATTTACTTAGATAATACTGTACATGTAATTAACAGCTGTTCAGTCGAAGAGGAGCCTAACTGCAGCCCACATCAGGCTGCCTGTGGTCCAAAGGTTAAAGCATCATGGTTATGATATCCAGTAATGCCAGTGTTCACCAACAAATCGAAACCATGTTTACAAACAGGCAGACGGATGCCACTTGTGCATGACATTACCCAACAACGTCTCACACTTCCACTTTAACAAAAGAAAAAACAACAACTACCCTTTTACTGTGAACACCGCCTTCTTTTTTCTGACAGCATATGTTTTAAGACGACTCCAGGCTCGTCGTGGGCAGGTACCGCAGAGACTTTATGAAGTCCAGAGAGTTAGTAAACAGATGAGTGGCCGCAGAACCGACCCACAAACAACAGGCTGTCAACCCCCCCGTGTAAACAGACAGCTGACGGTAACCCTTACCGCATTTGCTACATTCTATCCAACGCTGAAAAGGATAGATAAAAACCTCACTCACCTTTTCCCAACACACAGCCTCTGCTACTACTTCCTGCTCCTGCTGTTTCTACTCCGAGCTCCTTATTCAGCCCCGCGTGTGTAGAAGCAGAGGGGAGTCCAACAGCTACAGCTGTACGGCCATTCCTCAGCACTAGAGAAGTACCGGGGGGGGGGGGGGGGGGGGGGGGTGATGTGTGAAACGTCACATCCGGTAAAGTCTGCGCGTTTACGCCCATAGATGGACTGTGATTATACGCTGTGATATATGCAGTGTGACACTGCTTTACTTTGTGTATTACATATTATACTTGCACATACAGTACTGATATGTATTTATATGAAACAAATCATCCCACCATCTCTTCCATATAAACAAAGTAATGGACCGGGTCCAGCCCAGTAAGTCGTTTAAAGACACCCAAGAGACAGCACTCACACAATAGCTATTGTTATTTGGAGTTATTTATAATTATTAGACGTTATAACATGCAACTCTATAGAATAAATGTCACAAGAACAAGTACATAGCATGAAGTTGTTTTTAAAATTCGATTGTGGCCATGTGTTTAAATGCTAATATGTGCATATTGCGTTATTTTAGTGGGTTATGTAAAGGTAAACAACGTAACGTATGGAGTCACAGCACACTTATTAGCAGAACAGAGTTACATTCAAAAAACATAAGCTTTTAGGCAGTAGGCTATATATAAATATATGAAATGTGAACTATAACTATACATTTAAAGAAATGTATTTACATTATGTAATAGATGATCCAATTAACAGACATACATTACAGTGAAACCAATTGTATGTACCAGGTGTTTGACTAAATATAAGATGTTTAATATGTTTAATGTATTTTTAAAGTATTGTGTAGTACCGTTATATTGTTAACAAGTGTATGTGTTCGAGCAGTCAAAATTACGAAACCGTCTCTTTTTGCGAGCGTGTACATAAAATGATTCCTCCAAGTGGTGGCGACATTGTACCAATTCGTTTTTTTCCGGATACAGGACTAGAAAGAGGGAAAGAAGACGTAGAAGAAGACTGGAGTAAAATGAAGGCTGCTGAAAAACTCATGAAGGTTTTTGTGACCAGACGCATTCCCCAGGAGGGAATGAAGCTCCTGTCGGCGGCTGCAGAGTAGGAATCGGTTTCATTGATATATTTATTTTTTAAAGCAGAATGTGTTTCCTCAAGGCTGACAATGTAAACTCTCATACAACAACAGTCATATGCTTAAGTCAAGTTCAAGTTGATTATTGTTAGTAGTGGTAGTATTAGTAGTTGTAGTAGTAGCATATAAGACAAGCGCAAAGGTTACATTTTTCAAGGACTTAAGGACTCAAGGTTCTTTATTGTCATTGCAACACATGTTAGACATGGGATGAACGAAATTAGTTTCTCTGGGC